GGCCTGTTCCTGGTCTTCTTAGGTTGGATCCAGTTTCATGGAAACGCTGGAGTACCCGCTGAACTGTAGAAAGACTCACACCAACAGTTCTCGCTGTATTGCGCTGACTGCGCCCATCTTCAAGCATTGTCAGGATCCTGGTGCATTCTTCAGGGGTTGACGACATGATGACTTCAGAATACAATTTTTGTATGACAAACACACGATATTTATTGTAGTTTTTATGTCAAAACTAAAACAAATGCGAAACAAATGCTTTGATTTTTTTAGAACTAAATTGAAAAACAACCATTATCTTCATTGCCAGTTTTCTTACACAATTATCTAAAGTAAATAAAAAGGTTTTATATACTATGTTAAATAACATTAAATATTCTTTAATTGAGTTTTTATTTCATAAAGCTGGGTGAGGTAGTTTTCAAGTTATTGAAGATTTTCTAACCGACCCGTTTTCTTTGCGGTCCAGTGTAGTTCAACCGATTGAACTACTATATTGTGAAATTTAAAAGTTCTTCATTTATTAAAAATCCTTTTAACGACTTTGCAACGATTAATATGATAGACATTCAGCAAATGCAAATATATTAAGCAACATCAGTCTAACAGTTAAACAATTATAATACGAAATTAAAGTTTAAATTTTTTAGGTACCTACTGGGATTAACGTCTATTTATGGGTTAACGATGGCTTGATTCTCATTGTCTGGCGAAACTGGTTTTAATTGTGAAACGTAAGCAAAATCGATCCAATTATCACAAACCGAATTCGCCCTGAAACGATCAAGTGTCAGCCTGTTGTAATTGCCTTTGCGTAGAACAGATGAAACTTTGTACGTTAAATTATACATTATACCTTTATACATTCACGTACAGTGAACAGCTAGTCAGGTTATACAAAAAAAAAATCTCCACTTGATTTGAAACCCTAATGTTTTGAGGGTAAAGGAAATATTAAGTGCAACCGTATATACATATTACACATACTAATTTGCATAAGCATCGTAATGGACAATCGAAAACTCCACTGTGAAATTTTACATTCACATTATATTTAATAATATCAAATTATATAATAGAAATAATTTAACCATCTCATCAACTGAGACGAAATCTTCCATCTGATCTAACTTTGCCATTGGCATACAGTTTAGATTGACGTCTTGAAGGACTATTTTACATAATTTTCATTCGAATTAATTTAGTAACATTACAACATGAGAAAAGCTATTAATCGGTTTTGTTAGTACTAAAACCAAAATAAAAAGCCAAACCTAGCCAGAAAAGCTACTGTGTAGCGCTTGTATAATGTAAGCTTTAGAATTTCATCATTAAGCGTTTAAATAATTATGCGTAAGCTATTTCACTTTAATATTTTTTATGCGCAAATATTATTGGGACAATTAAAAGTACGCTATGTTAAATGATGTCTTAAAATTTTATGCAAGTTGAAGGGAACCGAGCAAACGCCTATCATCGAATGCACTATCGGGTAACTGACATGGTCGAATTTGTATTTATGTGCTACATAACCTCGTTACGGCAACCGCTAGCAACTTTAATTATGACATTTGATGATTTATCGGTCCTATAAAAAAAATAGATTTCCAATAGAATTGTAATAGTTCGAAAAATTACTCCTTTTATAACTCGAAACACATCTTAATGAAGGAAAGTAAAAAAAAAACTTTTATCTTGAAAATATCGCATTAATAATCCTTCCCCAAAATCCTGTCGCTAAAAGGTTGTTTAGCCCCTAGCGTCTGAACTACTTTCGCTGATGTGACTCAGCACTTTCCGTCGTATTAACCTCGTATCCTTGCATTATTTATTAGCTCAGTCCCAAAGCACCTACATAACGTAATATTCTATATATTTTTAGTAGACCACAGGAAAAAATCTTTTGCAACAAAAAGCCAACCGTTTTTGTCAAAAAGTCACCTGATTCAATATTTTTATCCATCAATACCGCTAAGGTTGCTAGATATTTGACTTGGCTAGATTTTTCATAGACGACCTATGAGGTGAAACCTAGCGTTTCAGTTTATTTTGCGATTGCGTTGTGTGTTAGGTTAACAATGGCGGAGTCACGGTAATGAGTTTTGCTCGCTTCGATTACTTCTTGTTTTTCTCACAATTCTAACCCAACCTGATTAAGTAATTAGTATTTTTTTGTGGGAACATCATAGACTCTAAAAATTCTTAAAGTTACAATATTTTATATATGATACATATTTAATTGAAATTCTTACAACTTGTAGTTATAATAATAATATATTTCATTTATTATTATATTCGATATGTTCCAATTAATTTCAAATGGGTAATTTAAAATTTACTTTAAAAATTTAAATGTTTCTGATATATAGCAGTTGTTTTGTGTAGTGCATAGCAGCATGTCATAGTGCATAGCTGTCTTTGAATAATTTATTAAAAAAATTTAACACTATAAATATTTAAGCATATTTATAGTGTTAAAAAACCTTTTGCACGATGATGAAAATGACTCGATCAACTAACTAAAATATATTTTTTGAGATTAACGTCAAAATAATTTGATATTTAAAAAGTAACGAATATTCGGCAGCTATCTGGTTGAAATTTTTTCTCTCCAGGTTTGTTGTGCCCGATGGGATCCATAATGATACTTTTGTTTTTAGAGAATACAATAATACACTTAAAATAAATAAATAAATTACTATCCGGCATAAATAAAATATTTGAAATATATAGGTTTGTGTCATTAAACAGACATAATACAATTTTCTCTACGATAGACGTTATAAAACTTTGAATGTATACCAGTAACGAGAGAGAACGATGTAAGTAACGTCTCACCATTACAAAATGAAAAATAAACTATTGTCTAGCAAATTTGCCCATCAAATCGTTCAAAGACGCCATTCCCGATTCATCAAGCCAGCTATTAAATAGTTTATATTTTCTATTGAAATAACTTATTCTTTCATAAACCACAGAATATGAAGATTTGACATATACAATAAACATGTTTCTTTTTTGCTAAATTAATATTTATTTTAATAATGCTCTTTTGAACCTTTTATAGTCCAGCTTTTTTGCGATTATCCACAGTAAAAATTACATTCACCTCTAACCTATACAAGGTGACATGACGTAAGAAATTCCACCATTAAATAAGTGTATAAAAAATTGGCATACTTTTTGTATTCGCAGCATTCCCATTCGCAGAAACAATGGTTGCCAAATGAGATTATCCGTTTTCGGCAAGGGATAAGCACGTGACCAAAATTTAGGCGCTAAAGAAAAATATCGCGTCCCGGTCCAGTGTCAAAACAACCCCATAAATATTATTCGGTAGTTGTTTGCACTAGTTACGACTGTTTTACAGTTTCGTGTTACAGCTTGATGGAATCGAATCGTGTTTTGCTCACCCTACTTCTTTACTCTTTCACAACTTTTCGTGTTTATTTTTCCAGTCTCGAACAGTACAGAATGTGTGATAATTTGGAAAAATCAATTTTTATTATATTAGATCTTTAGTAGATCTATTGTTTTACTTTTTTTATTGTTCTATTGTTTTATATCGTATGATTAAGAATGAGGAAGTATTTAAAATAAATAAAAATAGCACTCAAAAGCACCTCACTAGATGGCGACTCTAGCAAAAGTTCATTTTTGCAGGAAACGAATGGACCAAAGATAATAATTTCCGTTCCTTTTAATTGACATATTAAAAAACTGAATTTTGCAAAGTTCGAAACTTAGATATCAATACAAATACGAAAAAGAATATGAGTTGTTTATTGAGTTTTAAAAATTAACTTACTTTTATACATGAAAGAAAACAGGAATGGTTGTCGTTGAGAAATTAAGAACGTAGCGACATCTAGTTTGATTTCGGGAACTAATGTTTTTATAATTTTATTAACAATCCACTCTATATTTGATCAATTTTGCATTCACAATACTATACCGAAAAATACTCTTAATGAAAAATGTTTACAAAATCCACTTGGTACCTAACACCAAAAGACAGCCGAAGGGTCATGTGTTCGAGTCCCGTCTCAGGGTGCCAGGGACCAAGTGAATTTTTAAGCATTTTTCCACTCCACACCATGTCATCTTTTGGACGATCGCGATTATATAAAGCACATTCTTATAAATATTGATCGATTGAATAATGTTTTTTTTTTTTTGTAGATAATCAAAATAGTTCTTCATTGTTATACTTCAAATCATATGAACAGTGCTAAGAATCTGTGAGTGAAGCTATAAATAAATAAATATATCTGATTGTCAAACCATCCCCTCTTAGAACAAAGATGGCGGAGAGTAGCTAAATAACCACAACTCTGATTGGAAAAACTTTTCGAATTGAACTTTCTCCACATCGGGGGCTCATTCCCGCTAATTGTAAGAACCGCCATTTACCAACTTCAAATACTTTCTACAATACCAATATCCTCATAGGAACAACCGACACTTGACATCCTATTTGAACTTATTAACTACGTGACATAGTTTATTTATATTGTAAAAAATGTAATAATTCTATTGTAATGGTTATATAACGTCGGATACACATATAATTGTCTATTGAAATATGGCATGTGTATGTGTATTCAATAAATGATTTCTCTTCTTCTTATTTCAAAATACAAAAAAGGCAAACGGATTTCACTACATAACAGTAAACATACATTAAATTCAAAATTGAAGAGTATAATTCAAAAACAAGAGACAGTATATATTTCCTTAATGAGGCAATTAGACTTTCACTATCGTTTTATCTCACACTTACACGGATGTTTTCATTATAACGAAGTAAACATCACTTAATGAGCGAAGACCTTGACATTATCAGTATTTATTCAATATTAATTATATAAACTGATAACGTATCCACTTCAGATATCAATTGTTATACGATTTATCGTTGCCGTACACCGAAAATATATTAAAAGCAACGTGTAACTTGTATACATGACGAGCCCCCACGAATTGGAAAAAGCATACTCGAATTGGAATATCTCATTTTTGAAAAATAAAATTAATATTTCAGACTAAATAAAGGGTTTCGTTTTCTTTGCATAACTTGATTATTATATATAATATGTAATATTATTATATGCCAAGAAATCGTGGAGTGAATTAGTTTAGTATACTGAACAACTTTTACTATGGAAGCAACACTGAATTCACGAACAAATAATCAGCTGTTTCAACCAAAATTATAATACCTACAATCGTTGACAGTATGAAACAGCTGTTTTTTGTCGTAAATATTACACCTTATATAAGAAAAAAAAAAACAAAAAATAGAGTGGATTAAGTTTTATTATATTACGAATTTCGAGTACTTGTACTCGTAGTACTCGAATATGAATCGGTACCAACCACTATGTCTCTTATTGTATCATCGTAGCAACAAACCAAGTCCCTTCTATAACAGACTCTACTTATGTAAAGAAACTTTTTCTCGATACATTTACCTCTTGGAATACACTCTCCGTTTTTTTGGAGGCATGATGGATCTGGAAATAGAATGTACGTTAGCAAAATATTCTACGGTAAAGAAAAATATATGAAAATTAATTAAAGTTTAAATATTTTGAGTTCATAAACCGGAAAGAAATATTTCTACCGTCGGTCTCTCACAACGTAAGTGCTACAAGACTATATTATTGGTAATTTGTAATAATTGGTAATCATTGGTAAGTATCATACTGTTGTATTAAACATTCCTATTCGAACCCAAGTCGTTCTTGTAAAACAACGCGACGTTACCCATACAAATTCGACATTCATTAGTTCTTAAAGTCATTAAACCGTAATGGATATTTGTATAACTAACCGAAATCTGTTTTCAATAATGAGAATTTTAATGGACATTGCGCAACTGGTTGTATTTATTTATTTATTCTTTATTGCCTAACTAAGGACAAATGGCGGACTTAATGCCATAGAGGCATTCTCTCCCAGTCAACCAGTTAGATTGTACAGAACAGTAGTAGGCGGTAAAGATTAAAAACCCTCGATAAAATCATAACTATAAGCATTAGCATATATAAATACATATAATGGGGCGTATATGTCTTTTTTATAACAAACACGTGATCCCTGAGAAGCTTAATGGTGCAGTGGTAAGCGGGTTCTGTCTACGTTGCGGTAGTTAAGCAACTTTCGTAAGGGCCGGTCATAGGATAGGTGACCAAAAATTTAGTATCTCGAGCTCCTCCTGACTTTGAAAGACACGTTAAGCAGTTCATCCTAGATGCACCTATAGTCGTTATACTCACCAATCCGCTATGGGGCGTGCCATTCATTTTTTGAGATGGTATGTGTACTTTGGTAGAGTTTGCGTTACTACATAATCGATTCATATGGTTCTCCAACTTACGTATTTTAATAGCGAAGAAAATTTCTTTTCCTTTCTCGCTCAAATCACGGAAAACATAATCTCTATAAGACTGGGGATATTTTGTAGTCTCATCGGTTAACTTACTAGCCGGTGTAGATGGTCTATTGCGCAGATGTTTTCCATCTGCTTGCAAAAAGGAATACACAAGAATTGAAAAAAGAAACACTTTCAGCATAATAATGTTTACTAAAAACTCGGACGTGAGAAGTAACACTAATTGGTAAATTTTATATGAATTAATAATTGAATCAAGACATTAAAACGTTTAATTAGTAATTTACTGTAACATTAAAACTTTAATGGATTTCATATCATATTTCAATTATTCGAGTAGTTCAATGAGTTGACTCATACATTGTTACAGGTATATATTTTGTTAAATACATTGCTTATTTGAAAGAAATGCAAATATCTGTTATACAATAATCTCCATAAATTTATAAGTACTATATAATTATTTTAACCTAAACATATAGTCTACTTCCAATCACATAACTAATAAGCAAAATAAAATGAAAGGTTCTGCTACTATACCAAGTATTTTCTATAGTTTTCATTTAATTACGTATTTGTACTATTTAAAATAATACACATAAATATATACTTACACACGGCATCCCTTAAAGCAGTGTTTTTGGATTGCTATATTTCTCACATATGCTAAAACTTTGCTATATTCAAAGGCAAACTTTTTTGTAAATCATTGTACAGTTAATAAAAAATCAGTTTATATCGTCATCAGCCCTTTTACGGCCCAGCCCTTCCTTATGGATGATTAAGGAGGGTGAGCCGGAACACTCCACGCTGGCCCAATGCAGATTAGAGGATATTAACTGTAAATAAAGCCGTGACCAACGCATTAACGTGCCTTCTGAAGCACGGAGTAGCTCAAGATTATAATTTTCTGGTAACCTATGCCGTGTATGACCCTTGCGAAACCTTGCTTAACAACAACGATCGCAGGCCGCGGCGCTTATCCACTACACCACGGAGCTACTCAATTCATCAGTTTACATAGCATTGACTAATTTTTTCGATTGCAATATCGATTTGTAACAAATCATGTTATCACGAATGTTATCATCAAAACTGTTACATAGAAGAATAAAATTTTAAACAATTAACTATAAACTTAGTTCAATTAACTATAAACCATTAAAGGTTATATTAACCGAAATGTAAGCTCATTGATTCAGTGTATTTGAAAAAGTTTGTAATGCAAAACCAAATTACACAATATTTGATATTCACGCTAGAATTATATTGAGATTTACTTTAGTGTAATGCGTGTATTTGCACCGAAATTAATTTTTCATTAATTCATTGTACTCAATTCGTTCTTTGTTCATTTAAGTATTTTATGAAAACTAATTATTCTTACGGTAATTTTATGATTACCCGGGAAATTTGTCTGTAATACTCTGACATCGTTTGAAGATAATATTTTACAAAAATTCATGAATTATTCATTAGACATACAAAATACCGTACTACAAAAAAACTACAGAAACAGCGGCACCAGCGCGAGTTATCATACTTATGAATGATTCATGTGTTTTATATTAGTAAGTAAACAAACACTGTTTATATAGTGTTTTTTAGTAATATATAAAACGCAAACCTGTCTAACTTAAATATTCGCATATTATGCATATACGCAATTTGGAATTTGGTACAGGAGTTCCTTTTATGATGCTATTGAGAACTAAGAAAGGATTTTTAGAAATTCAGCCCCTAAGGGGGTGAAGTTTGTAACGGTGTGACATACCACCGTTTATTTTCCTAGGTTTCAGTATGCAAACTTTTTGTCTTTGAAATTCAACATCATTTTTGACTAATCAAATATATGGATGTCAGTTAGTAAAAAATCATCTGTGAATAACATCTAAATCAACATATTATCGTATTAAATCTTATAAATTTTAATAAGAATGAGACATTGTGATACAAATTATATAACATAGTGAATTGTAATCTGCAACTTTGACGATCCAAGTTTTTAACAAAAAACCCAAAAAGGGGGTATTCGTTTATTTGGTCATTTTTAATTTTATATTTAGATAAGATACGAACTGTTTTTATGTTCATTTTTTGTTTGTTACAGTTTCTTTATTTTACCCGTTATACAATTAATAAATCCATACTCAAGCTAGTCAGTCTTATTAATTGACCCAAGCACCGAACCCGTCACAAGTTTATATGAAATGTTCTCATTTCTGGACTTGAAAGTATGAAAACTAGACCACGCGGGCGAAGCCGCTGACAGAGGGCTAGTGAATATATGAACAAATATACATTTAGAACATAATAAATCTCATGAAGTATTTTAAAACAGTTTTATTTATTTTGAACTGGTGGTTTAAATGTATAAATCGTAACTTTACCTCCAACCAGTTATGCAAAAAAAATCCCATCTCAGACATCTAATATTGATGATTTTTTAAATTATTTTGCTTTAAGATAAACAAGATTACTTGTACCAGTTAACATGACACTTAAGGGCCTATTCTATTATCCTTCGAACGAAAGTTCGGAAAATATTGAGCAGCGCCCCCAGCGGTAACTATCAAGAACTACAAATCTTCATACAAATACTGAACACGCTCACAAGTTAACGCGTTAAATTAAAACTTACACTTACCACTCAGGTTCATTCGTCTCCGTTGCATAATCTATTATCGAAAAATTGAGTGTTTTTGTTATTTAGAATATAGATGAATTTTCGTGTTGGAAGAATATGATAGGCGTTCAGGTATCATGTTAATTCGTACGAGTATGTAGTACTTATAATAACTAACATTAATAAGTGTGAGTTTACCGTAAGGGTGAACATGCAACATGCATTATGCACGCACAGACGCAAGGTATATACGAATTCACCAATGCCATACATCTACTACTTCCCGATTTTTAATACAAGTAACATTCAATATTTTTTATTTAACGCTGCAAAGGATTACTGATATTATAAATACCAAAGTTTGCACGCAAAAACTACTGAACAGTGCGTCCAGTGGAAATTCACCTTAAATAATAACAGCAATGAGTATTACAAAGCAGTAGTGTCATTTTCTACTAACTTGATAAGTAGCATCATAGGTTATAAGCATGAGGGTGTTAATTTAATTTAATCCGATTCCAATGTGATACCATCGGTCCCGGTTAGATCCCGAGTTTTATTCCCGGTCAGCTCAATGTAGAAAATAGTCTCGTGCTTTTCTATAGTGTATGTAATTTAGATAATACAGCAACTTAATTTTTCAGTTTTCAATAATTCAAACACTAACAGCTACTTCATTTGGAATCTGAGCATGAGCAATATATGTTATGTTATCTAATATTTTTCTTAAATTCATAATATTTGTAGTTATCTTAACAAAATAGGTAATATTATGTGGATACGGCATATTCAAAGACCTTGTGTCATGGAAAACAAAAACAAAGGTGACATAATGCATTATTTATCACAATAACAAATACGATATGCATATGATTATTTAAAGTGGTATTTCTCAAAGTTTAAACATTATGTTGGGGTCCACGAAGATATTGGTCATATTTCGGGCTAATAATCGTAAACTAAAATATTTTTCGTTATTATTTATTGTCAAACATGTAACTAGGTATTCTTGTAGTCAAGACCTCCGTGTAATTATGTTTCCAAATAAATGCGTCGCTAGAAAAATTAGGAACAATGATTAAATGGTAATTAGATTAATAACTATTAGGCGACATCACATTCATTACTCAGATCCCAAATTAAGAAGTTAAATCACGACGATGATACAACATGCGGACCCGCGACAAGACAGAAAAATCCATTTACTATATTGACATGCAAGCTTGGACAAGGATGTCGTCAATTCGAAAAGTTATTAAAAAGTTTAATATCCTAAAATTTAAACGGTCAGTAGCACAGACGTCTTTAAGCTCCAATAGATGTTCCAAATTTGAAAGTTTTTATCGGTAATATTGCTTTGAAGTAATGTTACTTAAAACAATCGTTTGCGCAACTGGGTATTATACTCGTGTAAATAATAAACAAAAACATCTCTTCATATCATAGATATTAAAAGATTTATGGTAGAGGCATCGCGTTCGCGTGCCACTTTCGCGTTTCGAAGCGGAATTAGTTTAGTTTACTATGTCATTACGTCAACTTTACGACAAATAGAGGAGCAACTCATAAAGGTTTTATATGTGAGACACTGGCCTCCAAAACTCTGGTAAAGCAGTAAACTACTCCTACAGAGTCCTTTCAGTACAATAATACCTATGTAGTTTTCTAATACCATTATCTTCTCTCTCTTCTCTCTCTCTCTCTCTCTCCACAACTTCTCTAGTTCTGATAGGAGATATTGAATATTCACGAGATTTGTATAATTATATGTTGGTTGATAATTGGTTGATAAATGTATAACAAAGAAGAGCGAATAGGTTTTATTCGCTTTCAAAGTCTATAGAAGCGTTAAACCATTCACCCTAATTTTCAGTGGCTATACTATCTCGAACAGCACAATACTCTACCCACTTCACTACACATGGCCAAATTTCGCCTTATTAGTGGCCTATTCCACGAATTATACAAGTATTGTCTTTCATGCTGGTAAATCATTATTATACTAATAAATTCAAATTTCTTAAGGTAGTTCTGGAAACCATTGATTTTTTTACATGATAAATTGTGAGAATTATCATCATCACCAGACCCCACTGGTGAGGTACAGTATTCTATTGATGCAATCGAAAGCACAGAGGAGCTTCAGATAATATGTTTATGACCCATCCTAAGACCAGTTCTCGCGAAAGCGTCAACCACGCACCATCGAGCTACTTAAACTTTTGGTTTTCCTTATCTTACCGAAAAAAAATCTTCATATACTTACGCGTAGCCTATAAGTTAAATATACCTAGTTTTTTATATCTATATTTATGCAAACAAGTATATAAATATTTCCAATTCTAAATGATTTTACTATACCGCTAATAACTATCATTCCTTACATATGGTTTTCAAATAAAATAATAACGGCAAAGTGGTATAATCAAATCATGAGAAACAATCGTTCTTCTAATCGATAACAATTCGAATAACTTAAAAACATTTCAATCTAACAAATCCTAATCAGATAAACAAATGACACGGTTCGATTAAGCAGTGTGTATTCATACAGTCGGAGGGCCGATACTATCCGTACGCTAACAGTGATAAAAAACATAATGTGGGACAAGCTAATTATTATATTTGCGTGCGCCTTAACTTATATATATTGGAAAATATCTCAAGAGAAATATAAAAAGTACAAGTTTACGTTGAAATTCTTTATATTCTATTTGTATGCGTCAATGTGCGCTTTCTTTGTGTGGCCATTCTTCCTGCTTAATCCAAAAAGTGTACACAACGCGAGGTGAGTTTTGTTTTGAATATATTAACGATATATATTCATTTACAAAAGTGTGTAGTTAGAACATTGTTTAAAACACGAGTAATTTAAATATTACAATGGAGAATAATGGAAAAAACTAGTGTCTTTTATTTGTGAGTATCGCTATTTATTTATTTGAAACACCGACATTAATGTACTTACTAAAAAATTTATATGTTAAATAAAATTTCTTATCAAAATAGGTACTGAGTTAAACTTAAAATAAATGATATACAAATTACATGGATTATTAATGTAAAGTGTACTTGTACCCATCTTATCTTTATATTCTTGTCGTTTTGCAAATTATGATAACAAAATATGTAATTGCTACTAAATTCCGTATATATAATACATACATATATATATATAATATAAAACGATATACATAAAGGCTTGTAAACAGTTCAAAACATACTGGTTTATAAAATTATTAAAGATGTTTTTCGAAAACACTTGCTCTCTCTCTCTCTCTCTCATTGTAATCTCCACTCCAAGCAAGCGTTTACGAAGTTATCCTGTTGTTTATTTTCGAAATTTCAGGTAATTTCGAAGTGTTTCAATTTTAGTAAAATCATAACCATGAAGATTATCTGTGCATCAGAGACAGTTTCAGGTGATTCCGTTGCCTTCCGATCGTAAATTATCGGAAAATTCGTTTCTTTGGAGCCGCATGCCAACACGACAATATCAGTATGATCGCATGTTTTTGATAGAGTGATTGTTTTTCACAAAAAGTGCGAAGATGTACAAATAAGACCTTTGATCACCACCGAAACTGGCATTGAAATCCACTCGGAAAATGTATGGAATTCCTTACGAGCGGGTTAATAATATTTATTAGGTTTCCGAGAACTAATAATGGTACAGATATACATCTTATGTTTTATAACGTAAATTTATAAAAAACGTTGTAGTCACAGACCAATTTTAGATTTACACGATTCACTAATTAATAGCATTTTCTTATATGAAAATTGTTAGGCCTATAAGATTTTAAAAAGTACTCATATTTTAAAAATACCAAATACTTAGTAGTTTATGCGCCAGTATCGAGAGTTTCGTATCGAGGCTTAATTTTGAGATTATTTTTACTGATTAAGTCAAAGTTTACGTTATAACTGCATTCTGAGCTATAAGCGGCTTTCAGCCATAAGGTGATCGGATTGAACACCGAAAATCTAATGGCTCCATGTTTCAGAAGACAAGTTAAGCCTAATACCTACTGCATCTGTATTAGCCAACGTTCACTAATCGACACAGAGCCGACGTAGTAAGTTACGATCCATATTAAGCTATAGTATACACATGCTCTAGGTCAGGTTACCACAATATATCAAATCTCTGCAATGGAGTTTGACCTTAACCTCAATGTATTAAGTTTTAAAATCGACTCGGGAATTTTGACATTTTTGTATGTTTCGACATGCTGTTGACTCTAATATTTTGTTAAAAGCAGCCTCAAACTCTTCAAGGCTTCAATTAAATAAAACCTTTATTACCTTTTGAAGTAGGTTTTATTTGATTGAACCTCTATTCTATAAGTTCTGCATTCGACGACGATTTACAGAGGCAGACTTGATGCATAAGATATTCTCTAACAGTTAACCTTAGAATAATATGGAGAAACCGATGGAAGTTGGGTGCACAATAAAAGCAATGATTTATTAACAAAATATATTAACAAACATTTATTATATACATACATATGAGAAGACAAATAAAACAAATACATATCATTCCCAAAATTCAATACAAATAAATAAAACTGGAGTGTCTGTTTGTAATATTAGAATACCGCTTTTTACAATGCATATATATACGAGTATATATACAAAAATAACATTTTTTGAATTTTTCTGTCTTTCCGATTGTTCCGACTAATCTCTGAAACGGCTAGATTGATTTTGAGGGCACTTTCACTGGCAGAACTTATGCAAGAAGGGATAACTTAGGCTACTTTCCATGCGGACGAAGTCGCGGGAACAGCCATTATAAACTAATTCTGATTTCTATCATCATATTCGAGGTTGTTTTTGTCATAGCGCTTTTATAACTTATACCTTAAGAGTGGGAGCATTTATATATAAATCAATAACCAACCAGTCACGTCATTGATTCAAGTGAAGGACTTATAATCATTTTACGTAACGTTATGTAAATGTTTGCCTAAAATATTAATATTTTTAATCGAAACAACCTGGATAAGTTTTATCATTAATATCATTATTATCTGTATAATTATCATTATTATCCATACAATCAGGAGAAATGTACACATTATCTAATTTTATTATCAATGAATGACCATTAATTAAGAATAACTTAAGGTACATAAAGCAAATCACTTGTTTCAAATTGCTCATCGAAATAAACTGAAAATAAGATAATTACTTTTGTGTGTGTAGTTAGACAACGGAATAAATCTTGAATCGTTAGAACAAAGATACCACTGAAATTCAATAGCATTCGTTTTTGTCTTGCACCTACATACTTTTTACATGACTCGTTAATTAGGGTTAATGTATGTATTTCACCGTAACTTTTAAGAGTGTAGGCCCTACGTGCCTTACACTGTAGAGTATTATTAGAAACGTTACATCGTTTTGTGTGACAATGGCTATTTTTATTTTAATCCTATTAATATTATAAAGGCGAAAGTTTGTAAGTATGGATGTATGGATGTTTGTTACTCTTTCACGAAAAAACTACTGGACGGATTTGGATAAAACTTTACAGCAATATAGGTTATACATCAGAATAACACATAGGGTACTTTTTACTGGGAAAACTTCTCACTCCCACGGGATACCGACTTCCACGCGGACGAAGTCGCGGGCGTCCACTAGTATTCAATATGGCGGGTGTATTACGGTGTATTTCAGAAAATATGAATAATATTTTCCTTTACTAATAGCAGTATGAGCATCAAATTAAAGGTCTTTACTGGGCACTAGAAGGAATTAAATAAAAATAAATAATTAAAAAAACACGACTACCAAAATCGAACTAAAAATATTATTATTATTACAAATATCATTATTATAAATATAGATATAATATTTGTCATTACGATCGGGGGATCGTTCTGTGGAATATTTGCAATGAAAATTTTGTTTATCCAAGCCACAGAACACAGAAAGAGCTAAACCGTAAATTTTAAAGCAGTTATTCAACGAAAATAGTTAATGGTGAAAGAATTTTAAAAATCGGTCCAATAGTTTCGTAAACCATTTAACGCAAACATGTAATCAAACATGTTACACCTTATCTCATGAACATGGAGACTAGGCGTTCATTCCATTCTCCGTGCTTGCTGTCTAGTGTTGTTAAGACACCTTTTTACTTGTATGACAAGCTAAATTTCTCTTATTGTACAGTCAGGAAAGCAACTCGTCTCTTAAGGCAGCCGCATTTCGTGGCAGTTTTCGTTACGCTGCCACGAAGTGTTGGAATAACATTCCTACACCTTTTAAACAGTTTCGTGCAATCAAAACATTTAAAAAAACGTCTTCTTGATTTGCAGAAGCTGATTTGAGTGTTGTGTTGGGTCATTTATATACAAACTTATTATATTGTCTGTTATGTATGGTTTATATAATACTGATTTGGGTATCTATTTAAATGTTTAGATAGAGTAGATATTTATGGGTTATATATATTTTTAGGGCCACGGTGTGTCTTTATTTATTTATTCATTTTGTTATTTGTACATTGTGTGGTTTCTAAATAAATGAATTATTATTATAAATGAAATTGAAAAATTACCAACATTGTTTCCGAATTGAGTCCATAATAAAAAAACGAACAAGAAAACGCAAAATAAATACAAATAATATTAGTTGGAAACAGTAATAAAAAAATACATTTGCGTCATTGTTGGAACATTGAACCTACAAACAAACAACGCGTAATATGATAACAGATATTTCTTTAAACGGTTTCCGATTGAATAATTATAAATTAACCGCTGATTATAAGTGTTTATATATTTTTGAGTATCTACACCAAAATACATATAATGATTTTTACTGTCTTTTTTTCTCTCACAAACATTATATAGAGGTAAAGTTTCTAAAGGGGGACCACTCGATGGAACTTTTTTAAATCTATGAGGTCCCCTAACTGCAATAAGAATTTCGTTTAGCCAAACCATAATACAACTTGTTTCTTTAATTTTAGTTCGATTTTGGCAGTCGTGTTTTTTATTTTTTTGTATTTATTTGGTCTGTTAGTTGCTCTGTCAGCCTAAGAGATCAATCAGAGTATAATTTTGACACATCAATTCTGATTTTAGTCGCGCAATAGAACCGTAGAATCATATTGATAAATAAACAATCATCAGCTACTAATAGCATTGCTGATAACGAGACGTACATATATTTCTGCAGTAACAACTGTCAAAGGTCTTTTTCTTTGTTCATATCTTCAAGTTTGAAGACCTACATAATATACCTATAAAATAAAATATATAGATTTATATATCTATCCTATCGTTTTTCATTGTTAATGCTAAGCCTGAATTAACATATAGGCTAATTTTTATCCCACTAAACACACCACGCGGGCGAAACTGCTGGCGGAAAACTGGTTAAATAATAAACCTAATATAACTGCTGTTATATTAGGTTTATTTATTTAGGACAGCAAAGAAAACGGCGGGTTAGGGAAGAAATAGGAAATTTATTTATAAATTGAACAGTATATAACGAAAGCTAAGATTATAACAGAAGAAAAAAAACAGCAAGTGACAAGAATAGAGTTTAAAGCGAAGCATAGATAAATTAAGAGAGTTTATTACAATATTAACAAAAATAAGGTCTGTCACGCACTACTGCATAGTTATCAATTTCAAATTTACAAGGGAAACCAATTTTTACTAAAAAAAATATTAGCAAATATAATTAACAGTTTCTTTTAATTTTTCTTTTATCAGAGATAAATTATGTTTAAATGTTATTTTAGTGATAAAGTTCACTAATAAATGTAATATTTCCATGTTTACATTGTACAACATTCATTTAGATTAATAACTAATTATATGCCCGTTGACATGTTATAAATTCAATGCTTATAACGAGAAAGAAATTTAATCAGCGCATAAATTTTTAAATGATGTCGCAACTGTTAATCAGAAGCATGTCTTTTTTTTTTCTTTTTTACCCTTCTAAGATCTCAATATGTTGCTACTTATGTTCAACCTACTGTACACATAAGGAATTTACGGGTACATCATTTTTTTATTTACTATGGGCTCACTCTTGAAAGTATGAATACGGTGGTATGAGCATGCCCAGAAGGACATTCACTCTCGCCTTAAATAGGTATGGGTTATATGCACTCGGGAGTATGGATACCGGCAGGGATTTCCACTTCTCAGCAGTGAACAGTATAAGTGATGACAAATAGATATCTGTGCAGTATCTCATATCTACCAAATGGGAGTGGTAACCAGCATTTAGACATATCTAGATTGCCGATGATAAAATATATAATAAAATGGTGATGGCGGATAAGCTAGTGCAACTCCTGAGCGCACTACATGTTTATGATTATTGACATTTAAATATTAATATTCTCGGAGGAGCTCGATGGCGTAGAGCTTATGTGATGCGGTCTTAAGATGAGTGACCAAACATTCACTATCTCGTGCACGTCTTAGTAAGGCACGTTAAGCCGTTGATCCTGGCTGCTTTTGCAGACATTAGCACCATCAATTCGCACCGGGCTTGCAAAGGTTATGTCCCTTTCTCCCTATTTGATTCGATGCCTTTTATAGGGAAGGCCTGTACCCCAGCAGTGAGGATATTAATAGGTTGATGATGTTTATGAATATTTTAAAATGTAATTATAAATTATAAATATATTTCTATGCAAAATTTATGAAATATAATATATTTCATAAATTTTGCATTCACAGTTTGTTACTGAAATAAATTCTTAATGAGATATGCTTTAAAAGGTGCACTTTTACCCTGGCACTTTGAGATGGGACTCGAACACATGACACAGTTGGAACTTTTTCGCTAATATAGAGCGTATTTTCATTAATGTTCAAGCAATCTACCCAAGCAGCCGAAAGATTTTTCGATAAAGATGAAAATTTGTTCTAATTATTATAATAGGGATGATGACTGGGTAAAAAAATGCAATTCTATTTAGCCCGTCAGTCAGATAATAGAAAAATATTAGATACGTATTTTTTTTTTTACTTCAATTTAACAAGAAATAGCTTAGATAACAGGCATTAAAGTTGAGGAGTGAGGGCTCGCTACGTCACAGTTGAGTAGAAAACGTACCCTAACGTGACGTCATGCGAAATTTCCACTCCATGTAACGCCGTAATTTAATGATTACGAAAAAAATAAAAAAATACGTGTTTAATATTTTTTAACACTCTACCTGACGGACAAACAAACAAAAATTAGTCATCATCCCTATTGATCAATTTTGCTTTCACAATGGTATACTGAAAAATATTCCTAATGAAAATTATTTGTTCAAATATACCATGCTGCAGAAAAAATCGTGCACTTAAAAAATTACAGAGTATTATTACAACAATTTTGAAAACTGTCTCGATTAAATTGCAAGATCCAAATAAACCACTGTAAGAAATACACATTTTTACTCAGTCAGTCAAAGTCACATAAATAAATAAGACGAAAACAATGGACGTAAAATAAAGGACTTAGAATTGAATGAAAAAAAAATGATTTTCTTATTTTATGAACTAAATCCGATATTTACTATATACATTTATATACTGATATCCGACTGATTAGTGCCCAAGCTTTCTCAAAGGTATATTTTTTCTTATATTAAGTAAAATACCCTCGAGCAGATCCGGATACTTATTTATTTGATAAATACGTCATTATAATATTAATTTTCATTTCAGATTTGGTGCTTGGCTAATAAAACCCATCACAAAATTATATCAAATAGAATTTGTACTTCGCAATGGCGAAATACTGACGGAGGAAAGAGGCGCGGTCATCGTGTCCAATCATCAGTCGTCCCTCGATATATTGGGTAATAATAATAATATTTATTTAGCAGAATAAACGTCGTAATAGACGGTTAAAAATAAGATGCTATAATATGATATCTTAAGATAAAATATCGCTCGCCATACATTTCAATGGCACACGGCTAAGATAGTATCATATTTTCATATCGTGTATCTTAAGATGCCAAGCGATACGGAAATATATAAATGATATCTTATAGTATCTTAACCGTCTGTTATGAGCTTAAGTAATAAAAAAATATAAGGAAACATGACATACATTACTCAGATTCAATATAATGTAGCCAAAGCCCTCGAATCTGAGACAACCAAGGCACCACAACATCAAAATTCGATACCATATAGGAAAGACAATTTTCCATATTGACCTGCGAATCGAACACGAGACCTCATAGATGGCACCTTGAAACTGGCGTGCGAACCACTCGGCTACAGAGGTCGTCCGAATGACATGTTTCTTAGATAGCTAGATTTTTATTATATTGATATAGCATCTACAACATCAAAAACATTTAAGATAAGCAATGGTCGAACTAGATTTAACACCCACGAATCCTTACTGGGTCCGGGTGATAAATAATGGCTTATTTTCCAATTCGGTTCCATTAATAAGAAAGGGGGACATTAATAGTCTGATGTTTACGAAGTAATTAATAAAACGATGATTCTAACAAGAATAAATATTATAGAAATTCAACTAATTAATCTAATAATTATCAATTACTAATATTATAAATAGTTAAAGTTTCTAACTTTGTTTATTCGTAGGGGTTACCTCCGGAAATACTGACTTGATCATAAAAAAATCTTTCACCTACAGGACATCATACGCCAGTAATATGGGCTATTATTTGTGCTGACAAAATTACCGGAAAATAGCTATAACGCAGACAAAATTACCGGAAAATACCTTTATATTTGACTATTAGTACAAAATTGTAATGTTTGTGATGTAGCTTGTTAGGTAATGTAAAATATTATATATTAGGTTGATGAGTAAAAAATTATCCACCACCACCAGCCCTTTTACGTCCCCACTGCAGGGGCTCAGGCCTTCCTTATGGATGGTTAAGGAGGATGGGCCATGACCCTCCACGCTGGCCCAATGCGGAATGGAGGGTATTAACGACTGCAAATGCAGCCGGGACCAACGGCTTAACGTGCCTTCCGAAGCACGGAGTAGCTCGAGATAATAATTTTATGGTCACCCATCCCGTGACCGACCCTTGCGAAAGTTACTTAACGACTACGATCACGGGCCGCGGCGCTTATCCACTACGCCACCGAGCTACTAAATTATATTTTAGTCAAAATAAAATTAGTCGTAACACTTACGTAAACACGAGTATAATTAAAAACTATCGCGAAAGAAATACAGAAAAAAACAGTCGTTAAAGTTGAGTAGATCAACCTTACAAAAGTTAACAATAAACCAAAAATGAACAATATATTACTAAATATCTTATTGTGTTATTAAGTAAATGATGAATATGAGAGAAAAACGGTATTTTTATTGCCTTACATTAAATGCTTAACCGTTAATAATGTTATTCCTTGCAGGGCAATAAGCAATTAAATAAAGAGATATAGTTTCTAACTTTGTTTCTGTGCTTGTAGGGGATAATAATATATATTTACAACACATAAATATATCCAAACAATTAATTTAAATAGAATATTTATTTAACTATTAACAAGTTAAATCTGTAATTATTGATTATAAGTTTATTAGACAGCACATCATACTAAAAAGTAACAATAGACTTTAAACCATATTCCATTGTTGGTTAAGTTCAACATTGCTAAAAGTAGGCCTTCTCCAATAACCTGATGTATTTACGATACTCGATCACACTGTCACGATTGAACTAATTAACATCCTCGTTTTAAGTCCCCTGAGACCCCAAATTCTTTGGTTTACAAATAACTAGATTTCCGCCAGCGACTTTGCCCGCGTGGTCCCCAAGGAACTGTTTATTTGGCTATCGATTCATATCATGACATGGATGACAATGACAAATTGAATAGTATATAATGGTTAGTACGGAAACGTTATAATTCCCTATGGAAACGTTTTAATTCCCTATGGAAACGTTTTAATTCCCTATACAAACTTCCACTCCCATTTTCATCCCTTTGTTTGCTGTTTTTCGGGATAAAATATAGCCTATGTCCACCGCGTATGATGTAGCTTTCCGTAGATGATAAAATCTTTTAAGTCAATCTATTAGTTTTGAAGCCTTTTCGGTGTCAATCGATCAAATCTCAATCAAAACAATTAAATCTTTCCTCTAAAGACAAAAGAGAAAAGAAAAAATATAAAGAAAAAAGAGGAAATAGATGAAAAATCCTTTCTATGTTATTGAGAAATAAATCAATATCAATTTATACGCATTTATTATTATTAGTAAATTGATTTCGCGTAACAACATTCAGTAAACTAGATATTTTTTATCTTGTTATTTATTAAAAATAATAACTGATAAATATTGATAGAGAATAAGGATTATTTAGAAGGTCATCAAATAGATTAATAGTGTAATAAAATGATAAAAATCTTGACTTTAACACAGACATTAATTTCGTATACTATTTTATATCAAACTGATAAGTTTTTTAAAGCTATTTTGTTAAAAAATAACAGCATCGGAATCTATGTCAAGCACAGCACTGTTATAAATTACCTTTTGATGAAGGTTTCATTCGATTAAAGCTGTATGATGTGACGGCGCTGCGTTCGATGATGAGTTGTAGTTGTTTTACATAATAGTACTACAGATTAGTTTAATACGTCATCATCATCATCACAAGCCTATTATTGTTCTCCACTGCTGGTGCTTAGGCATTACCTATGGATGACATCGAATCAGACCAAATAGGGAGAATGGACAATGACCCACCACGTGGGCACAGTCCGGATTGTGGTGTTAACGACTGCAGTTACAGCCGGGAGCACCGAGGAGCTGGATATAATAAATTTTTGGTCACCCATCCTATGACTGGCCATTACGAAAGTTGCTTAACGACCGTATCGCAGACCGAGCGCGATAACCACTACGCCATCGAGCTCCTCAATACAATTTGTATAGTATTAAGGAGGAATAATACCTATTATCTTTTAATACCTACATTCCATTTTTTTTTAACTAGACAAAATGGCATTTAACATTTACATTTTGCTTTCTACTTATATATGACACTGGCTATTAAACTCACGAATGTCTCGAACATTTCTTTTTTTCATAATGATGTGGCTGAGTGGCTCACACGAAGTTACGGATTTGGTTCCCGGTTGGGTCAGTGTAGTATATGATTTTTTCAATAATTATCTCGGATTTCCATAATACAGTAGCGTTAACTGCTTAATATATAATGTAGCAATGTATGTGATGTTATCTTATTATTAATAATATTCTAAAGAAGAAAGATTTGGCTATTGGACCCAAGATAAAAATTCTTGCACCTACTGGAAACTACACCTTAAATAGATTAGGCTATAAACCACATTTGCTTTAGAATCTTATCAAAATTTGGTATTTTGTTATTATGATTTAGAACAACCTTGCTCATTATCTTTTGTTTTTCGAAAATTAGTATTTTTTGCATAATATTTACTTATCAGTAGATTTCTAGAATTTGTACAAAAGCTACAAAATATATACGGGTCAGAATCACATATATAGATAAACTATACAGGCACCTCTCATAGATTTTAAACCTTTACGGAGATAAGTCTATTATCGCCTATTCTCATAACTATTTATTTCAAAATGTTGAAATATATTATGGTTTTGAAAATCTCAGTATAAGCCTTTTCATTTGATATATCAAACAATGTAGTTTCTGGAATGGTTTTATTATTTTTATTTCTTTTTCGAAGATAATTGTGGCAGAGAGACCGACAGACAACCGGACGATTCTTTATTCCTGCTATACAGAACCCTAACAATTAAATCTAGAAGTAGTAGCCGTCATTTCTTTAGCTTTAGCAATATCATGCGATCTTGAATATATTAATCCTTCCTCACAGAAGAATGAAACTTTTATTTTGAAATGATATTGATAGGTTTACCTTTGTGATGATTAAAATAAATATATATTTAATTTCTGTGACACACTACATTCCAAAATTGAATAACTCTTTTATAAAATACTATGAATGGTCCTATAAAAGTAAATTAGATCTAGATTTTCATTATCACCATAATATAACCGTGCAAAGTGGTTATTGATTCAATATCTTCCTTTATGCTACATAACGGCAACATTCATTTGTTGTAGTATTTTATCAACTTAGAATTTTTTTATCAACTTGACTCTTTTGTGATTTTTTTAATTTAGTACCTACTAAACACAGGTTAAACTAAAATCGTAAATTTAAAAATATATGTTATATACGAGCTGTTGTAAATAATAGCCTGTCAATTACATATGTCGCTTCCCGTAGGTGAAACAATGTTTAAAATCGATCCAGTAGTTTCAGAGCCTATCAATGCAAACAAATAATAAAACCTTATAATATTTATAATATTGGTATAGACTAACCTCTTTATAATTAACTTTTCTTTGTGAATATGTTCTGTTCCTTTCCTGTTTATAATATTAGTATAGACTGATCACTTTATAATTATTTTTTTCTTTGCGAATATGTTCTATTATATATTATATATATTTTCACATATGTGAACACTTTTAAATGGCCTTCAGCATTTATATTAATGATATAAAACGCAGCTGTAAGTATTCTTTAAAAAAAAATAGTACTGAGCCGTAAGAAACAACGTGGGCACTGATTAAACATCTACATTGTACAACGCAATATATCTGCAATGGTCGAAGTAGGATATGCAGATAAGGAAGTCTCACCTGGATTCTCATCACACGAAATGGCTCATAGTAGAACCCCACGAATCCTACCTACACACATAAAAATCTATTTGAATGATTAAAATACCACATTACTTCTCATTTCAGGGCTGTTCAATATTTGGCACGTGGTGCACAAAATGACAGTGATAGCTAAAAACGAGCTTTTCTACGTGTGGCCGTTTGGTTTATCTGCTTACCTAGCTGGTGTGGTGTTTATAGAACGAACCAACGCGAAAAACGCATACAAGCAACTTGCCATCACCTCTGATGTAATGCTTAAGGATAAGGTAAAGTTTAATTTTTCTCAGTCCAATAGCAAATAGGCAAACTGTAGGTGTACGTACTCCAAAAGATGATGATTGAACGTAATTTACTTGAAATAAATACTTTAGAATAAGTCCCCTGACTACAATATGCGGCTAGAGAATTTACTCTGTATCTCAGCAAAATGTTTTGACGTTATATTTCGACATATTATTCTTGGATATTAGAAATATACCTAAGAAAGAGATATATTATTTTAAAATAATAATATGATAACGTTTTTTAAACACACAACCCTCTATCAAAATTTATAGTAACTATCGCAATCTCCGTTTGTTGCACAAATATCTTTGTATGTTATTGCCTAAGAGCTTTACAGATGGCGCTGTAAATATAAAGCTCTCTTGCTCTGAATTTATTTTGTTGGTTAAATTGATGGATTAAAACTTTTTACTATTGAAATAATAACAATTGATATTAAGTCTTAATTTATGTTTCTAATTTCTAATACTAAATACTTGAATATATGTTGTTCATTTCCTGCTGGAATAGAAGGTTTTTTAAAGAAATAATATTTACACTCATTTCAAAAGCTACTTATAAGTAATAATTATATTTCTTTTGTCTTTCAGAGTAAAATATGGGTATTCCCTGAAGGTACGAGGAATAAAGATTACACAAAGATGCTACCATTCAAGAAAGGAGCTTTCACCATGGCAGTGGCTGCACAAGCGCCTATTATACCCGTCGTTTTCTCTCCTTACTATTTTATAAATAAAGAAAAAGGCCTTTTCGATAAAGGTGAGTATAAATTATAAAATGAGGCTAAATATAAAATAAATATAAATCTTAAACTTTTTTTTTCTCTCGAAAATGATGTACATACTCGCAGAACTGTAAAAATGTTATTGTCATGCGCGAACTCAGAATTTCGCATTAAATATTAAATTAATCATTTTTTTAAGTAATTACATTGATATCTCTTACTCTTTATAACATTCATACATTTTTATGCCCGATTAGGGTGAAGCAAAAAGGAGCATTATCAATTTGACCCGTATGGTATGTTCATATGTTCCCTCCTAACTTCTTCACCAATTATCATAATTCGAAAACTTCATTTTAATCATGTCCCATCTCTGTTGCAGGCCACATAGTAATACAGTGCTTAGAACCGATCAGTACTAAAGGTCTGTCACCTGAAGACATACCAGATCTCATAAATAAATTGCAACATAAGATGATGACCACATACAAAGAATTGACCAAGGAAGTCCTAGATACGTTACCGGCTGATTATCCATTCACGACAGTCGGATAGCCATAGAAAACTTTAGCATTATGTATTAGCCGTAATTGTATTATTAATCATCTCGTTTAAAATATTGAAATACTAGCTTACATAAAGAATAACTTAATATGCTGTTCTAAGAATAGGAAAGAGAAGAATTATTAAATGGTAAACGGGTCTGTCGCGTAGCTTATTATTTTTCATTAGAATAACATTCGAAGTTAATGAGTTTTAGTTCAAATTGTACTGAATACTGCAAAAAATGTTATTCGATTTACGTATGATTAAATGTAAAAGTAAGCTTTAAAAATAAATTCATACCTTGAAAGTTTCACGGTAGACCCGTTGGACTAAGCTTTGACAGTTTAGAACTCAATTAGCCTTGACATCAAAGCAATATATGTGATGTTACCTCAGTAACCTACCCATAAATAAATTTAAAATTCATGTAAAGAACATACTTATTAGTAAAGGCTATTATAAAGTTGATGATTATTTTAAGGATCGCAATGCATGTAATTAATAGCCTTAGATTTGTTCTATAAAGACTAATTATATGTTCAACCTATGTGCTACATACTTTGAAAGTTGTATTTATTATTGTGATAATACATATTATTTTGGTAATGATAGGATTTATGTAAATGTCATTACTTATGATAAAAAGCTGGTAAGTTTCTTTCGCTTGTTCTTCTTGTCAGCTAAAAGACGTCCTGAACAAGTGGTAGGGGAAAAAAAATAATTGGACCATTCAAAAGTGCTTGTAATAGCCTACTTGAATAAAGATATATTCATTTCATTTCATTTATAGTTATTTAATATTGTAAAACAAAAAAAAAACTGCTATGCTCAAAATCAATCCCGATTTCGACTTCAGGCACAGCGCTGTCAATGCATAGACGTTCAATTAAATATAATCTATAAAATCTTTTGAAGTAGATTTTATTCGATTTAACCTTTGTGCTGTGCGTTAATGAAAAACAAAGCGCGGTACTCGACGTTGAGTTCAATGCTGATATTATTACAAAATAGAACTACTGTAATATACTATTAATTTGTATGGCTATACTAATCTTATAGAAAAATATAGACTTTCTACAAAATTCATAATCAAATCACAAACTACACAACAAACAAAATAATATAAAAACAATAAGTTAATATTTACAATAATAATTTGTTATATCAATACTATTGTGTATTTGCAAATAAATCTATATTTACGATACTATGATGTTAACAATTCGAACAATAAACTCAACTACCAAATACATATTATGAACGGGACTAAAATCAATTTTAATTTTGTTTATCTGTTTGTATTTTAGTAGATATCTCGGAATAGATGAAGTGAAATCCGTCAAAAGCATATTTTGTACAACTTATCTTTTATTTTATTTCAAGGCATATAATAATAGTTTATTTATTACTTTAAAATTAGCACGGTTACTGACAGCACAAAATATTTTTCATAGTTATAAGCATATTTAAATCCCAATCAGCATGATGTGAATCTATCGATGTTTACTTCAGCCTATTTACGTTACACATTATAAATTATATAACTAAACCTTCTTCGAGAATGATTGTCCATTCTTTGGCGACAACTACACATTAATTTTTGAGGAACAAAATTATAAAACAATGAGCGCTTCTAAAACTTTCTAATATAATCTTTTTTATTGTATTATACTCACGGATGTAAAAGTTTATACGGGTATAACTGACCGTAATTATGGGGGAATCTCTTAGTCGTAATAGTTGTGAAACATTTTTAATCTGACATTTTCATACAGAAACTACAATTATAATTTATTTGCTTTCATATGTATCATATTCTCATAGAACTTTACTGTTTTACTTAAGTAATAGATGGTTTTTCTTGTCTGGTACCTAGCTTATGTATTTTTATTATATACACAAAACTGTTCATATAATTTGTTTGATAAATCTATTACATAATTTATTGATGGGGTCGTATTCTTAAAGACGAAAATAATTAATTATAATATTAGATAATATAAAACATAGAATAGGATTCTTTAAAAATTGGGCCCTATCATAATTTATATATAATTCGATACAATAATTTAAAGTAAAATGACAAAGATTTATATTATAGAAAAATATTATATTATTAAGGATGATAGTAAGTAGGTATTATGATGGCAAAAAAATGTAATAACATCAATGGTTACTAATTCTCTAGTCACAGGTGCTCACATTTTTATAATTGAATATTTATAAAATTTTATTGTTTGAAAGAAGTCCTGTTCAACGAATTTTGTAATTATTATGTTTATTGTCATGTTTTATTTATTAAGTTTAGTTAAATCTTATAAGATAATATAATCATTTAAAAGTTATGGTAAGGCTAAGGCCACGTATTTAGCACAACTGCTTGAATGCAATGCAATAGAGATCGTACTAGGGGTTTTATTTGTATCTTATGGAACATTAAATCAAAAGTATTAGGGTCTTAATATGTTGGTTGTAATCGTATCATACATGTCACAGCCAACTGTTTAAAACAGCCATCCAATTAGACGGCTAACCTTTTAATTGAATAGCGTCATTCAATTACACTGCTAGTTTCCTAGTTAAATCATTATGGAATTTGTACAGTTCAATAAAACGGCTGATTTAAAAGTCGCCGAAAATTCAATGTATTCAAATTCGTTAAATACAAATGTCATATTTTTGTGTTCAATTACTTCAATTGATTGTTTTGTGATTTCATTTCGAAGTTAATTGCAATCACATAATTACAATTGTACATACTAAAACGGTAATTTTTATACGCACGCAGAAAATTTACGCTGCAGTAAATTTTCTGCGTGCCATTTCTGTAGCGCAACATATAAGAATAATTTTAAATTCTAAAATCAAACCTTTTTGAATAAATACGTTCCATGTTGCAGTTTTAAAAATAGAAAATACATGTAGCATCAGATTACCACAATATGTAATGTATTTTGAAATGCATTTGGAAGTAAATCTTCAAAGTTTCCAATATTTGAGTTGTTGCAAATAAGTAGCTAATTTAGAGGTTAAACATCCAGTTGCACTAACATCCATTAAAATTATCATAAGTTTAAAGTGACATTACCCACACACATTTAACATTTGTTAGAGCTTAAAGATGCCATTAAACCGTAATGGACGTTTGTGCAACTGGCTAAAGATCAAAAAAATAGTTTTAAGAATTTATTTTTAACAAAAAGGAACTTTTTCAGAAAGGAAACGTCAGTGTGTTGTCTTACGTAAGCAGTATAATTTATATAAAGCGGCAGTTATATTAGCTTCCATTGAATGGCGCGGAAAATACTAGTTTTCATGCTTTTGGTCACCCAGGACGTGCCCAGGATGGACTACCTAACCTACCCACTCACCTTCTATAAGTATAAGATATGAAACCGATCCGCACGTGGTTTGGACCTGCTACTTAAAACCGCCGCTTTTATTATTAACATAAATAAATTAACATAAATTTAAAAAATATATATATTATCATAAACGTAACACCTGAAAACTATTTCAGAATCGATATAAAATTATTATTTTTATTATTAACTTACCAAAACCAGAATACATTATTTAAAAAAAAATTAAATAAGGATTTGTAACACATAGTGTAAAATTAATTATTATTCAAAACAACATATTTTAATAAAAAATAGACTGGCTTTTTGTGTTATTTCATTATCACTTATATAAAGTAACTTTAAATTTTAAACCTATAATAAAATTGATGTTCAAAAGTTGTAAACTTATAAAATGAATACAAAAACACAAACTAACTTTTCATGCTTGTTATTGCATCTCAATGAAGATATCGTGATTTGTAGGGCAATTTGCTAATTTTAGCGTAGGTAATTATGGTAAGTCAAAAGCTCTTCAACTGCAACCCCTTATAACACAGTTCTTATTAGAGCACAAAATATTAAACATAAACTGGGGAAAACATTGCACTAATGATAGGTAGAATGGGTAGAATTATTACGTAAAGATTAACAGAATTAAAGAACTGGCCCTTGGAAGAGAACCTGGATTTTTTAACTTTTAAGGATCATAGATCTTATAAATGTTTATAGAGATTTGCAGTCCATGAAAAATTGCATATTACCATAAATCTAATACTTCCACATTATTAGGTAAATAAAATGTGCGCTCAAGTAAGTATTATATAAATCTATTATTGTCATTGAAATATTATAGTCGTAGTTTTTATATGTGTATGATTTTAATTTCCATATTATGAATATTTACTCAAACCAAGTTTAAAGGTTAAAGAGACGGTACGTGAACGAGTCTTGACAATAGCAGAACATGAAATCAACGTTACAAAAATGGTTGCTTCCAAAATATGTAGAATGTTATTTAAAATATATTGCAAGTGTAACGAAATAGTTATAATTATTTTATTATTTCTCTTGCATTCTCTTTACAAACTGTGCTTTTTACATAAATTTAAGAAGGCGAGATTTTATTACAATTTCTTTATTTATTCCGTAACATGGCTCGCAGTTTGTTCATTGTATTATCCTATTTTCAAGCTGAGAGGAAGGAATCTTGAAAATGCATGGTAAGTCAAATCATGTAGTGTAACACTACAACTCATTATATAACTGTATATAAGTCGAACAAAGTTTTCGTCACAATAAACTTATATTAAAACCCAAGACATCTACAACAAAAGGGCATTTGATTAATTCGTAAATTATTCTAATTTTTTGTTAAAAATTTTCAAAATGTACCTACCTTTTTTTTTAAATCGAAAAGGAAGAAGTTCTATGTTCGATGGATATGTACATTTTTTTATGTTCCTCGTAAGATAGTTACACATTTTGACAGAATAAAAAGCTAAAACCTGAGGCCTCTCCGTTGGCGACACATTGAAAACGTTATCTACAGAGGTCGTTCTTAAGGCATTATTAAACTTTTTACTTATTTCTTTACCTTAACGCATTAGAGAAAAATAACGTTAAATTTTTGTCTTAAAATAATACTAGTATATAAAAAAAAAATTGTATAAAACTAAAACAGACTTCAAAAAATCGAATAATAATAATTAATAACAACTAAGTACAAATGTAAATTAATGCACCACAGGAAAATTGAGGTAACAATTTTTTAGGCCACGAAAAGCATGACTATTCTGAGATTTTTGAAGACGATTTTACTTAAAAAAATATTCAATTATTTAGAATTCAAGTGACGACATCGTTTAAATTCACTGTCACAAACAGTAAACCAAAATTTTCTCGTATATTGTACTCAAAAAGCTTGTCTAGTAGTAAACATCTTTGGATACTAATTATTTATATTTTCTATTTTTAAGGGAACTCTTGGGAGTGTTCGAATATTTGGGTGAACGTATTCTAGGATTACAGATAACTGTACGTAATTCTAAAGTGTTGATGAAGGACCAAGCCGCTGTTATTATAACAAATCATCAGTCATCTTTAGAAATGCAACGTATGTAAAATGTTTTACTAACATTTATTTTACAGAAAAATACTCAAAAAAGTCACCAGTACCTACCCGTATGGAATTCGACCTTATAACCTTTACACAATTAGGTCTAGTGACCTTAGACCTAATTGTCCCTTTCAACATGACATTTGAATGTTATTCACGAACTTCACGCTACAACTATTTGACAAGTCCTAGCGATTGAGATCTTGACGTTTCTTGAAAGATAATGAATGAACGATATCACTAATTTAACGTTAATTGGAATTATTTAAGGCAAGCGTTAGTCGTTTATGTTACTCTAAGTTACACACCAAGTTCTAATTATTTAAGGCAAGCGTTAGTCGTTAATGTTACTCTAAGTTACATACCAAGTTCTAATTATTTAAGGTAAGCGTTAGTCGTTAATGTTACTCTAAGTTACATACCAAGTTCTAATTATTTAAGGCAAGCGTTAGTCGTTTATGTTACTCTAAGTTACACACCAAGTTCTAATTATGTCTCTTGATAATTCGAATCATCATTTGTTCCAAAAGCGATCAGCTATCACCATCGCTATACCATAGAAAGAGATTACGTTCGATTTAAAAATAGATAATTAGGAAACTTATCTATAAACTTAGGAATGTTATAACTCACACATCAATGGTGACAGTTATCTAATAATATTTGACTTCAGGGGGACAATGGCAAGATTCAAGAAGTTGAGATTCTAGTCGTCTTGATATATTAGTATATTTAAAGTATGAATTACGTAGTTGATTATGTATATGTATTTGCTACGCGTTATGTGTTATATAGGTATGTAACTATATATTAAATGTCTATATATTTTTGTTGACAAATCTTTATTTTAATTGTACACGTTACTCGCTTGGTGTCCCCTCATCATTATAAAGTTGACTGGCAGAGAATGCCTAATTAATTAAGCCCACCATTGTACTTTAAATCTGAAATATTAAATTAATTAATAAATTCTATTTAGTTACAATTATTTTATTTTATTAATTTATATAAAACTTCCACATACATACAAGCAATTAAATTTGCCTACTGGATAGTTTTATAGGCTCTAAACTGCCTGTACTTGCACTCAGGTTATTATCTAAGCGGGCTATTACTCTCTTAATTCTACGTCATAATCAGACAGGCTTACCCTTTGATAAATTCACATAAGGAAAATGGACAAATATTTAATAATATAAAACATAAGGTAATTATATTACCTACGAGTGTACAAAATACTTATATTAGAACATGAATTATGGGTGCTTAACCCTTTGTCTTTATTAACTGTGTCAAATACTTTTGAAGTGTATTATCGTTGACATAATTCAAATTATTTTAGACAAGGAACCCTACGTAACACAACTTATCTTGAAAATTTCCCTATGAGAAAACGTGTGAATAAATACGGTCGATTTTATACCTCGTACACCACCAAAATCAGTTTCGTCGACCCTGGGAAGCTGATTTTGACCCCTAAGGTGTCATTATTAACTTTTGGGAATACCTGATTTAAAATTAATTATGTTCGTGTTTAGTTTTCTTACAGATTTGGCGCAAAACAATAACTAAACTCATTGGTGTAACAAAAAAAGAAGTACGGTATATATTTCCATTTGGAAATGTCCATCACTTAATGGGTACAATGTTTGTAAGTAGAGATAAGGGTGGAATTAACGATATGGACAAGGTTGGGATAGAAGTTGTCAAAGAGAAGGTAAAAGAAACGAATCTATTGATACCTCACCACTCGTAGATGGCAAGTTATAGTGAGGTCTTGCTAAATATGCTTTTTGGACAAGTTGTGGTCCAGATAACGTCGGCAATTTTGATATTTGTTGCAAAAATATAGCTAATATTTTAGCAAAATTAAGTATCGTCAAAATTGATGACATTATGTTTAAGCACTTTATTAAAACAGGTTTTATTTCATCTCAACAAGGTAGGCAATAATTTATTGTTTTTCTATGATTTCAGGCAAAAGCTTTAATAATGCCCGAAGGCACAAGAAATCGTAATAGAGAAATTATGCTGCCATTCAAAAGAGGAGCTTTTCATATGGCAATAAAGTCGCAGATACCAATCATACCCGTCACTACATCACCATTTTATTTTATTGATTACGATAAACCGTCATTCGAACAACGTAAGTACCTAGTAGATAGAGTTATATTATGACACTTTATTGCACAAATTAACACCAAATACAAAAGATATGATGCATAAATGAAGACTCCTTGGGAAAACCAATGACGTCAGTTTTTTTTACACAGCTGACTTTCATGCCACCTGTCGACTTTTTCGTGTATCTTATTTCTACAATACCTACAACGAGGTAAAATCAATGATATTTGGTATGTATTACTCAATACATACGAAAAATTTGAAACTACTAAAACTCTTGAAACTCTTGAAATATTATTTTTCTTTTTAACTATGCTTCTCTGCTCTTTGGCGTGAGGTGGGAAGCAACCCCCCCCCCCCCCATCCTTTGGCGTAGTCGTCGATTCTAAAGTGCTTCAATTATATAAATATATTTTGCTTTCGATTCTACTATTGAACATTATGAATTTAAGTTACATTTATATTGTTATCTTTTACAACTGCTGGTAACCTTACCAGATGAAGAATATCTGTTCATAACCGTTTAGTTTCAAGATGACGTAAATATACTCATAGATGCTGCTCAAAAAGATTTAAAGCTCAAAACTATAGACTGTATGAAGACCTAGAGACAATAAGTCCAAATTAATACGCCAATAAGTGAAACAATTTGATACAGATGATGGCATATAGCCTGGAATAAAAAGTCAAAAGTATTTTTGTGTAAAATTTCTCAATCACACACCTTGTTTATATATATTAAATTATTAGAAAATATCATATATTGCTCTGATTTTAAGACAACCAGATCCGAGACAATATAGAAAAGTTCATTTTCTACTTTGACCCGACGGGGAATCGAACCCGGGACCTCAGAGACGGTGACACCTTGAAATCAACTACTGAAGTGTTTTTTCTCATTGAAAAGACTATAATTATGAGAAGAAATTCAATAAAATTAAATTTTAGAGGTAACTTTTTAAATAGAGAATATTAAAAAAACATGTTGTGGCGAATATTATATTTCAAGTTTAAATGCTGTATTGATGTTTAGGTTTAAAAACAATGCTTATACATTTTCTTTAAAATTAATATGTCCTGACGGAATTAGCATGATAAATTTTAAGATGTAATGATCATCTCATTATAAAAGAGAGTTCATTAGGACTTTATATCTTTGTTCATACGCCAGTCTGCGTCCTCCATATTGAAATTATAATGGAATCAGGTTTTTATAATGAGCAGCTTGGCTAACAGTTTCATTCGATATCTATGGTATGAGACTATTTAAAGGTCCATCATCCATCATCTTTGGTAATAGGGATAACGACTGGGTAAATAAAATGTAATTCTATTAAGTCCGTCAGTCAGATAATAGATAAATATTAGATACGTATTTTTTTTACTTCAATTTAATAAGAAATAGCTTAGATAACATCAAAGTTGCGTTAAAGTTGAGGAGTGGGAGCTCGCTACGTCACAGTTTCGTAAAAAACGTACCATAACGTGACGTCATGCAATATTTCCACTCCATGTATCGCCGTAATTTTATGATTACCAAAAAAATAAAAAAATACGTGTTTAATATTTTTTAACACTCTACTTGACGGACAAACAAATAAAAATTAGTCGTCATCCCTATTCGCTATATTGGATTTAGAATGAAGATTTTTTTTTTCTTAGCCAAGCCAAATCCAACATTTTTCATTTCCTTATTTAAAAATATTATATTAGGGTTTTTTATTGTTGTACATTAATACATAGGGCCGATATACGAGTATTAATAATAAAATATTTTAGTGCCCTTCACGCTGTGGTACCGCGTGAAGTGAAATTATTCTAGCTAGCACAACTTCTTAGTCCTATAACTGTTTATTTATGTAAATATTTAAGGCCTTTTTAGAGTATTTTTTGCGTATGCTAATTCTTCAGTTTAAAAAGGAAACATTTAGTAAACTTGTAAATCTATTACATACATACACCTCGAATTGATAACCTCCTTTACTCATCTCAACACCTAGAGCAGCGGTTCTTAACCTTTTTGCCTGGCGACCCAAAACGTAAAAATTATATGAAGTCCGCGACCCTGACATTTTATTTATTTTCCAGTGATAATAAAATAATAGGAGTAAAAGCCAGTAGTTTGCTCAAATTGATCAAGAAAGAATGACATCGATAACGGCGATCACAATGTCTTTTCAAAATTCCCGCGACCCATCTCAATACCGCCCGCGGCCCGGATTTGGGTCGCGACCCGAGGTTAAGAAACGCTGACCTAGAGCGTCGGCTCACAGAATTTTACTTTACGCTGTATGTAAGAGATCACCGGTTGTGTCACATAGCTTAATGATTGTATATGTATTTGGTGTTAGGGCCTCTGTGCCTCCGCTTACGTTCTTATACAAATATGCAAACAAATACGTATCGAGAGTATAGGCGCTCTCGCTTAGTTTCGTGCATTTTTAATCACAAAAAAAAAATCATAAAAAAGAATTAGGTGATTTTAGGTTATATCGAAACCTATTATTTTTTTATATAGGTAAGATGAAATAAATAAAAAATCAATGAAAAGTAACAAAAAATCCACTTCGTCCCTGCACTCTGAGATGGGTACCTACTCTGAGGTCTGAATAGATTTTTTCAGCATTTTTCATTACGAGCAAATTATTGAAATTTATGTTACTTTTTTCATGAAATGATTTTTATTTGGCAAATATTAACATAACCTTAGATTAAAATTGGTTTAAAAAGTGAGATTTCCTTACAACATCGCCTTAAAAATAACATTTTTTTCTATCTACCTAATATTACTTTAATTTACAGCTCGAGTAATAATGCAAGTGCTAGATGAAGTGTCTACAGTAGGCCTCACCTTGAACGACGTTACAGAGCTGAAAGAAAGAGTACAAAAACAAATGTGGGAGACGTATCAAAAACTGTACCATGAATGTATGGGACAAGATAAAAACCAAGATAATGATGAATACGACTGCAATGGATATACCATTGTAGAATAATGTATAAAATAAATATTGATGATTTCATATTAATGTATTTATGATCCTAATTGTTAATACTAAAAACCGATAACAGAAGAGAAAACATTAATATTGAGATTGAGACGTGTTAACTTATTTATTATCCTGTTACGAGGACTTACTTTAGTTCCAGCAGAACGATTCCGTAAAAATCCGAACCCAAATTCACTAAAGTGACCGAATTTAAGTCATTTAGTAATAAAAATTCTATTGATTTCATTTTGTAAATAAAAGTACAAAACAAGATTGGTTGATTCATACGCGTCTCAGACATTATATCCCATGTCATTTCGAAACTCACTTCACTTATACCACAAAATATTAATACCAATTCAAGGTACCAATTAAGTAGATACATAAAATACATATACATATATACTTCATAGTACATATGTTTTTTTTTTAATATACAATTTCTACTTAAAATGCTTTCTCTTTGGGTAGTTTCAGTATCCTCTTCGTAACTCATTCTTAACCATCTTGTCCTGAGAGTGTTACAGAATACTGCCGTATTATTCTCCCCTACAAAGACAAATAAAGGCATTGAAAAGCGTAATCAAAGCATTACTTGGAGAGTCACACGGCTGCAGCTGCGATTGGCAAAATATTTCAAAATTATAGAAAAGATTTTGATGTCTAACTTTAATGTATGAAGGTTTAAAATTGAATGTGGTTAGACAGTTTTGTATAACCTGACGTGCTGTTGACTGTAATAATACCTCAATACGATCGCTGGCGATTATCACTCAAACTCACAATTTACATGATTCGTATTATTCAAGACGACAATTTATAGATTGAGCTGCATCTGACTGCGTGAACCTATCCTTTTCTGGAGAAGAGTTCTATAGCACGTTCGATCTGTAATTATTATGCAACTTTCGCTAGGGCCGATCACAGGACAGGTGACCAAAAATTTATTATCTCGATTTCCCCCGTGTTTCGGAGGGCACTTTAGCCGTTGGTCTCGGCTGCATCGGCAGTCGTTAAAACCAATTAATTTATAATAGGCGCGCGTGGAGCTTGGCCCATTTTCCTTATTCGATTTAATTCCATCAATAGGGAAGACTTGAGCCTCAGTATTTTCCCTGATTTTAGTGCTCGCGATAATCCTTTTTCGTTATTTAAAACCGCCGATTTCCATTCCGCGGCACACCCGATAACCTTCCAAATAGAAATTAAAACTTGTTTCTGACTTGCAACAAGTTTGATACATCAAAAAAGAAGGCTTTCTTCAAGTTTGCCATGACAACTGCAGCAACTTGCAGCAAGTTCAAATCAAACTTTCTAGTTTCAGTGTGACAAACTTTCAGTGTGTACCTGACTCGAATAACTAGCATGTACTTGGGTACTCGAGTACCTAGAATACAAGTTTCGAGGCAAATATTACTTTAAGTTTACTAAATTTTATTAATATTTTGATCATTCAAAACTTTTGGTCCAAAAGCGATTGCGACTTTAAACTCAAACGACAGCACAGAGCCTAGCCTAAGAGCCAATGTAATTAAATGGAACGGTTGGTTTCGAATCCCATATTAAGATCACATTAAACGCCATATTACTTATACAATCAAACAATATGAATTGATACCGCGATGCATTAAATGAACAGCGCCTTCTTGTTTGCAGACTAAGAACTATTCGGGCACCTAAGAAGATAATGAGTGAGTTATTAATAGGTATCTTTATCATAACAATATTCAAACAATATTGTCGCAAACTTGAAACTTCATATTTCACATAACAATATTGCAGCGACATTGTCACAAACTTGACTCGTATATTTGACGCAGCAATTTAGAATCAAAGAAAAATCAAACTTTCCTCAAGTTAGCATGCTATCTGGGCTTGTAGTTCTATGAAAAGGCGGTTCTGATTTACAGTATAAAAAGATACTCTGTGGGTTCTGAGTGGTTCTGAAAGCAAAAGCATAGGTCGAGCGATGAAACGATATATCGGATAACCGATATACTCCGATGTGTGTCTGCCTAAAAATATCGACATCGAAGAAACAGCGATATCGAAAAAAAATAACTTATCGAAACTAATGAAACCAAAGACTAAATGTGTATCAGTTGTCAAGATTTTAACATTCATCGATCTTCTAAATTAGTTTTTATCATTAGTGATAGGTTTGACACTATTTTGTAACCCAGACTTTATGCTTTTTTTTCTTTTTACTCACATAAAGTTTGAATTAAAAAAAAGTAAACAAGATCTTTTGAATTTACTTAAGACCTTAAATCACTTCACAAATCCGATATATCGATAGAGTTTGGCAAGCGAAACGTGACACCACCTATTTTTCCGTTTTCATATGGCAACAACATAGAACTGTCAGTTTGAGACTACGTTAGACAATTCAAGAATATTGAATTTTGTTGTTTTTGCGAATTTGAACTTGTGTTTTTGGTTAAAAATTATGTCGAAGCCGATAAAAAGTTCATCGAGGAAACTTCTTTCCATCATGATTGACAAGTTTACTGAAGTGAAAACTGAATTAAATAAAAATTTCATGGAGAAATTACAACGATTAGATAAAGTTGTATCTTTTTTAGGTTAGTTTTGTATTATAATTTTGATACTTTCGTTTTAATTTTCTGTAATTAACTAAACAGATATTTTTTATAAAATATTGCTCTATTTCAGATAACTGTGATGGTGATATTCAACCAATAATGGAGGAGATAAATGCAATAAAAACTTTAGAAAAACAAGAAATGCTGAATTCGGAAACGCAGTACTTACAAAAAATTTCTTCAATGACAGGTCTCTTTTCTTGTTTTGATTTAAGATAGATTGATAGTATTCCTATAATATTTACATAGGTTTTTTATGATGTATTGGTTTTTATTGTTGACATCCAATGATGTCATAAGAATGTTTTGTTTAACAAGGAAATTCACAGAATTCATGAAACTAATCAAACCATGTAATTGTTATACATGCTAAATATGCACATAAACTTAACTAAATTAAACATAAATTGCATTCATAGTTGAATAGGTATTTAAATTATTTTGATGTATGTGTCTATCATTATTTGCTTTTAAATACATTTAACATATCTTTGTTTCAAAGTGTTTAATCTTTTATAGATGTAAGTATAAGGACACTAAGAAGGATAAAAAATGAAGCATTAATTAATAAAGGAAAATGGGACACTCCTGGGAAAAAACGACCTCATCAACCAACAGTGTCTGCTTTAGATAATTTTGATTTAAGTGCAATTCGGAATAAAGTAAATGAATTTTACTGTGTGAAAAAAATTGTTCCAACATTAAGAAGCCTTCACAATGAATTAAAAGATGCAATAGGATTCAGTGGTAGCCGTGAGACTTTACGAAAAATTATGCTTAAGAATGGATTTTCTTTTAAAAGCAATGAAAATGAACGTTCTATGCTTATAGAAAAATACCAGATTTCTGCATGGAGGCACAAGTATTTGAGAGAAATAAATATAAAACGAAACGAAGGAAAGCAAATTGTGTACCTTGATGAAACTTATGTACATCAGAATTATAAAGTTAAAAAGTCTTGGCAAGGACCTTCAACAACTGGTGTCACTACAAAGATATCCTCTGGAAAACGGCATATTGTTGTGCATGCTGGATCTGAGGAAGGTTTTGTGCCTGGTGCATTATTAGTGTTCAGTAGTAAATCCAAATCTGCTGATTATCATGATGATATGAACTCATCGAACTTTATGAAATGGGTCAGAGAAAAATTAATACCAAATTTAAGTAAGCCCAGTGTAATTGTTATGGATAATGCCAGCTACCATATAAAACAAATCAATAAACCGCCTATAATGTCTAATACCAAAGCAGATATCCGTAAATGGCTTGTAAATAATGGAATACATTTTGAGGAATATCAGACAAAGGCAGAGTTAATGTGTTTGGTTAATGATAAGAAAACATTGCCTGTATATGAAGCTGAAGAGATTTTAAAAGAACATAATCATGAACTTTTATTGCTGCCACCGTACCATTGTGACTTAAACCCAATAGAGATGGTTTGGAGTCAAGCAAAAAGAAAAATTGCAAGCAGAAACATTGGAATACCAGGAAAGGAAATGGAAAACTTAATAATAGAGTGTTTTAACTTAATTACCCCTAGTGACTGGAAGAAATACACTGATCATGTTTTAAATGTCGAAAATGATTACAAATTAAAAGATGGCATTGTTGAAAACGAACTTGAAAAATTTATTATATCTGTTGGTGCAGACAGTAGTGAAGAGAGTGACTCTGATGATTCCTTGTCATTGTTATCAGGTGTAGAATATTTAGAAACAGATTTTGACTATGAATCAGACTAAAGTATTTTTAGTCTGATTCATAGTCAAAATCTTATCTTAAATTTTCTATTGTGATTAACATGATGATTTTGTGACACCTGTATTATGTAATTTATCCATGGCACTTAATTGTAACAAAAATAAATGTTTTTTTTATTGTAATCTGGTGTTTATATTGACTAATTTAATTTGATAGATAGTGGTTCTGGATCAGAGCAAAAGGTTGTGATGAAAATCCCTTAGGAGACATGTATGTGTTATGAACACATTATAAATATAAGGGCCAGAAATCAAAATTGGCTAACATCACATTTATTAAAAAAATGTGGCCAGAGTCGCCCATATTCATTACAAAAAAACAAAGAAGTCGTTGCAAAAAACACCCTTTTAATTAATGACAAATATGAATTTTTAATATTATAAGTGCTGTTAGCCAATAGGTATAACGAATGGGTTAAAAAAAAGATTCGATTTAGTCCGTCAGTCAGATAATAGAAAAATATTGGATACGTATTTTTTTTCGCTTTAATTTAACAACAAATGGCTTAAGAGGTACTATGCGACGACTTCAAATATGCTTTGCAACAATGTTACTTTAATACAGTTTATCGATACGAAATCAAGTGTCAAAATGGAGTCCAGTGGAGAATGCCGATATTGACATTTCGAAATTGCTCATCATTGATAGAGAATACGAAATAGTGATTTTGACACAATCAAAGTGTCTATTTTTTACGGTGATGACGATTCTTGGTTGGATTTTCATTTTCATTTTACATGTAGAAATTAATTTATTCACTTGACATTGGCAGAATTGTGCGAAATGCGCAGATAAGCCATTAATAAAAGAAGAAGAAGAAGATTCTTGGTTGTCAGTTGAGTTAGTGAATAGGCCTACTGATATGCTGTTAACTGTACAATTAAGAACAGTCACGCTTTAGTCAAATGTTCCAAAACAAATAATTTTAATTGATATCTAAATGTTAAGATTAAATATAATTAATAAAAGTATCAAAATTATTTTGCAGTACTACATTCAGTGTTTACTGCTTAAGAATTTTTGAAATTGCCGCCCTTTTCTTGTGACACGTTTCGCTTGCCAGACTCTATTTATCCTCTGTAACTCAAATACACACTGTTAGTTTTATTGATCTTTTCATCTCTAACGTTCTGTCAGATGTAGCTCAACCTTAAATTTTGTGTCTGAATTCATGCTCTTATAACTTTGTGACTTATCATCACCATACAAAATTTATTTTATATAGATATTCATCTTCTTGGTGTCCGTTCTGTGAACCGTTTATGCAATAAATGTGGCTATAAATCATTTGACATACCCACAAATTCACTAAAAATGTTCACCCATACTTTGTAAATGTCTGGGACCCGCCTTAGAATGACGCGCGCACTTCTACTCGAGGCACACATGATTCAATCATTCAGTACATCACAGTTTTGTATAGACGTAAATGGTTATATAAAAGCTGAGCGTAAAAGTGATCCTAAACTCTTTATTTGAGGCCAATAATTGATTCAGATATGATATAGTATTCTTGTTTATCAAATATTATAAATATCGATGTATATAGCCTTTGATCATAAAGATAATCACTTGACCAAACTTATACTGAAATATTAAATGCAAAGGCACTGCAAATATTTTTAAGGAAAATAAATATTTACAACATGAAACTATATCTCCTTGTTTTCTAATCAAGCCACAAACATGACTTGAAGATAAAAAGTAACAAAAATCATAATTTTTTAATATAATTAACTAAAAAAACAAAATTTTAGCTAGTTGTCGGCTGAATTCTTGGAGATTATAAGAGTATCAAAATAAGGCTATTATTAAAAAGAATTTGAAATTTATATTATTTATCTCATTCCATTATCTTTGGCCCACATGTGGAGCAAAATTAATGGAAGAACTATTATAATGAGAAGTGTGAGGTATATAAAGTTTCATACATACAATTAACGATTAATTTGTTTTAAAAATATCGATATTTTTCGATTATATTCTCATGAGCTTAGTTAATGTTACAACTTCCAGTGTTGCCAACTTAGCACTTTCGGTACTAGATCTGGCACTATCTTCATAATATTAGCACGAGTTTTAGCACCTTGCACCGAATCTAGCGCTATTTAGTATTTTTTATTTATTTTCTGTTTACAGATAGATTTTATAGATAAGGTCAAAGAAAATGTAATGCGTAGATATATAAAGATGATTAGAAAGACAAACCAGGTTTCTTTGTTAAAAAATAAAATAGAAATCTGGATATTTCAAGCTTACATTATCCCACGAACGATCCTACATTTAAAAATACATTCAGCACTTTTTGAGATGTCATCTAGCACTTACCTTACGTATTTTTAGCGATGGGTCGTTTTTTAATTTTTTTGATCACGTAACGCAACCGCTATCGGATCGGCAATCACCGATATAAGACCTGTCTATTTTTCATAACTAGTTATTTTCACAACGCTATAAAGTCAAAACGAATTTTACTCTTATGCAAACAAGATAATATTCCATTTTGGATTGATTACTTGATCACTCCGATTGCCGAACTACGCGAAACGTACATACATATTCCTATTTCATTCACAATTATACTGACATCCTGTCGTTGTTTCATTTACACATGACAGATTGCATTGTTAGCGATCTATATTATTAAAACGCTCCACATTAGGTGTTACATTCTATTGATTAAAAGTAAAAGCTAAAGTAAAGCTAAATTCACTCTTAAGTTAATCACTAATCTGATTTACTTAAGAGTGAATTTAGCTTTACATCAAAGAGGTAATGAAAAAGGATAGTTATTGGATCACTGAATCACGAGCGGTTCAGGCAAATACTAGTTGAATAACTGTCTATCGCGAATAACGTCCATCGCTAATCGAATTGGCAACACTAAAAACTAACTTCAAGTGCGTCAAGTGTGCGTCAAATAGGAACGGCTTTACGTTTTATCGATTGATTCACCGGGAATATAAATTACTAAAGTATTTAGAAACTAGAAATTCAATATATATTTTAATAAAAAGTAAGAAATCAACAAGTATTGGTTACAGTGAATGTTGAAAACTGTTGTGTGGTACTATCATCCCTACAAAAAAATGATTGTTTGATTTTTATTAGTTGTTTTACAAATAAAAAAAGTGAAAAATGTGGGACAAACTTATTTACGTATTTATCATTTTGTTAGTAGCCTACGTTTTAAAACAATTATTCTCAGAGACTCCTAACTTCGTGAAGTTCAAGTCTAAATTTTTAATTTTTTATATATGGGCATCGATTACTGCAGTTATTTTGTTACCATTCTTTGTGTTCAACCCAAAAAATGTGAAGAACTCCCTGTAAGTATACCCTAATTACCTTTATCTTGCTTCTTTCAAATATTCTTTACAATCTCAATAATCATGTTCAATTGAAGTCAATTTATTCCAGACTGCTTCATCTACATAATAGTGTTAATAATTGCCTATTAAGTATCCTATTTCGTCTATGTATAAAATCTTTAGTAATATAATGTATTAATAGTATATTTATGAACATTATAATTATATTTTTATTATAATAATTCCTTTAAAAGATCATAATTAAATAATATATTTTACAGTTTTCACTTAATATTACTAATTAAATATATTGTTATAAACAAATTAAACATCAATATTTTAGTATGATTATTGTTATTAGTGTGCAGTTTAATTATTTATCTATTATATTTTACATTATATCTTCTGGAGTTATCAAATGCCTGACATAGATAAAATTATAAAACTGATACTACAAGAGCTGAAATTCATTTTTGATGTGGTAATGTTTTAAGTGCTTACATTTCCTTTTCAAATTCTAGTAGCATAATACTAAAATAATATTGTTTGTCCTAGATTTGGCTCTCAAATTGTGAAGCATGTTACCAAAATTATAGAAGTAAAATGGCACTTAAGAAATGGAAAAGTCTTGGCAGAAGATCGAGGTGCTGTTGTAGTATCAAACCATCAGTCATCAATAGATATATTAGGTGGGAGACACTAATTCTTCTTTTATTCACATCTATGAGAAGATTTTTGATCACCCTCCTCCCTAAAAATCATGAGTTTTGTTGACTTGGTCAGTGAGTAGCGTTGAATGACTGAATTCTGTCACTGAGGGAAGTGTATCACTAATAGAGTTTAATAGATGGTAATACAAAATTACATCAAAAGCACATGAGTAACATTAAAATTAAAGAATAACACTGAAATTGAAAGTATAATTATTAACATCTTTACATTAACTTATTTCATTTTTCTATAACATTTTTAAAACACTGTCTATCCTAGAAACTTATAGTTAAAGAATTAGTTAGAAATTCAAAATATAAAAAGTACTCTAAATATATCAGCTCAGTTACCAGGTTACTGATACAGATAGAGAGTGTGATATTTCTGAGATAAATGTAAAGAGAGTATTGTAAATACAAAATACACAAGTATAATAATCTTAAAATTCATGCTAATATTTTATAATAGAATAGAGAAAGTCTCAAGAAAATTGAATATAGTCTTAATTCTTAATGACATTATTAATAGTGTCAGATGAATAAGGTTTATAATAAGTGTTTCACATAAATAGTGTGATTCATGACCTGAATATGGTTTTTACCCGTTTTAAAGTGACTCATCAAGTGGTAATATAAAATAACCAACATCTTCACATTCCACAATAGGAAAAGTAATTGTATGTGTTGTTACACTTTAAAATTATATCATAAAGTTTTTATTGATTTTATATTTAATAGTATGTTTCTGAGTTTAGGAAATAATAATGAAATAAAAATAATAATACTTCTATGCTGACCTTTGAAACAAACAAACAATTGATAACACCGGTCAACACATATTTTGATTCTGAGTTCCATACATTTGATTTAGATTACTTATGACAAACTTATTTTTTTTTATATAAAAAATTTTGCTTTTGTAGATATGAGAACGAAATATTTTTTTAAGAAAAATCCAAGGAAAGTCTTCCTATTTACCCGATTGTCCACTTTTAAAATATAAAAAAAAAAAAAAAACAATTTTTAAATTGTTTTTATTTAAACAGATGATATTTATACAACTCACAAATACAGAAAAATATACAAAAATGGGTTAAAAGTGAAAGATTTTGGTATTTCAGATAACAAATTTTATTGAAATCAAATGATTGTCATTCATAAATTACTATTTTCATAATAAATTATATAATAAAGCAAAAACATTGCTAATTTTTTATTGATCCCAATGGGTATTAGCATTTTATTTATTTCTGTCTACCTAAATCCTTTTAATTACCATCATGACCTTGATTTATTTCAGGAATGTTCAATATCTGGCATGTAGCAGATAAAATAGCTGCCATTGCTAGAAAAGAAATATTTTATGTTTGGCCATTTGGGTTGGCTGCATACCTAGCAGGAGTTGTTTTTATAGACAGAAATAACTCTAAAGATGCTTATAAGCAATTGAAAATTACATCGGAAGTAATGGTGAAAAATAAGGTAATACTAATTTCTTCTTCGCAGTACTTCTTCTAGCTTCAGACCGACTTTTTATGAAAAATTTATAATTATTTATTTATACGTATTTGTAAGCAGATATGGGCGATCGTAATCATGATAAAATATACATTAAGTATAAAACTGATTTAAAGTTTTTAGGTGTTAAAATCATATTGTCATTTAAGATAAAAAAAAAAATATGAGAACCCAAATTTTTGTCAATATGACAGTTTAAGATAAAACAAATTGCTTTTTAACCGAATACCGCATATCCGAGGAACATGTTTGCCCGAAATGTAGCAGATGTATATCTAGTTAAGACATTACAATTTGGTGTATTGTTTGCTGCAAGCTAGTATTGGTGGCACAAATCATCCGGCGGACTCCAATGAATCTCCATGAGCATAGTTAGCTTTTATCGGTCATTAACTTTCAAATTGATTAAAATATGATCAAAGCGACAAATAGACAGTACACTTTAGTAATATAGGTATTTTTATTTATTTCAGTAGAGAAATTTACAAAATCACATTTTGATCTTAGGCATATGATAAAATTTTCTCATTGAAATTTGTTTCTTCAACTTTATACAAGTGATTTTGACATAAGCGTCCTCTTATATCAGCGCCAATGAAGAGAAATTCTGTGTTAGAACATAAAATATTATAATATGAATTTGTAAAATTATCTTATTTATAATTTTAATGTGCATGAATACAATATAGTCGCTACCGGCGGGGATGATGACGTATACAGAAACGTAAAAATCGGGCCTTGGGATGATGGCGTATACAAAAACGTAAAAAGCACCCCAATGAATCTGACGTGAATATCAATAATTGTAAAGAAGAGTGATAATCATTACATAAATATTTATACTATAAAATCTTATATTTCGTAATTTTTAAATCCTGTATCCGGCCAGATATTCGCTGTTTAATCCGGCTATCTATTTCATCACTGATTACGATTTTTATATTGTTAGTGTGTCATAATAGGTGTCAGATAAAAATATAAATCAGATGTTGTAAGAGCCGATTCATGTGATAAATTCCATTGAAAAGTAAATAATATAAATAGATTAATTATACCGCAAATATCATTAAATATACCTCCAGATTCAAAGCGTTAAACCGTCATTATAGCCAAAATAGTCTAAAATATAACATTATTTTTTACCAAAATGCCATATCAACTTATCGATTATTTATTACATTATATTATTATGCACGCCGGTTTCAAGGTGTCGCCATCTCTGAGGTCCCGGGTTCGATTCCCGGTCGGGTTAATGTAGAAAATGAACTTTTCTATATTGTCTCGGGTCTGAGTGTTGTGTGATCTTCGTTGTCTCAGATACTCCATAACACGGGGGCTTAAGCTACTCATTTTGGAATCTGAGCAATGTATGTGATGTTGTTAAATATTTATTTATTTATAGACGAAAATTTGGCTGTTTCCTGAGGGTACAAGGAATAAGGACTTCACTAAACTGTTGCCATTCAAAAAAGGAGCATTCAATATAGCTGTAGCTGCTCAAGTGCCAATCATACCAGTGGTGTTCTCACCATACTACTTTATTAATAGGAAGAAATACATTTTCAACAAAGGTACTTGTGTGAACAGGTGTTGTTTTATAATGTTTGCCTATTGTCATCTCATATTTTTCTTGATTACCATCGATTTCTATGTAATTTGTTTGGTCTCGATAAATAAATAGGTAGTATTTAATATAATATGTAGTAGTTTAAGTCTCAAAAATAAATATCTTAAAATATTTTCAATAACAAAAATTAGCTACAGACAGCATGTAGAGTTAAATTAGATTAAATTACGCATTTCCTTAACCATTCATAAGGAAGGCCGGAGCCCCTGCAGTGGTGACGTAAAGGGGCTGGTGATGATGATGAAATTACGCCAGTTAATTTAAAGTCTTACTCCTAAGTTAGCTGATGTATCTACTGCTGTGTGTAATATGTAGAATATATAACTAATATACGTCATTCTACATATTACACGTGTTTCGGTAATTATTTATCATTTACATACATGAAATGGTATTTTATTATCAGCTCCATAATTATTGTATAACCAAATCGTGAAGTTGAAGTAGGTAAAGTATTTGATATTGAAAATATAACATTAACATCGTGTTATAGGCTGCTTTCATAAAGAATTTTTATTTATTTATTTATTTAATTTATTTATTTATTAATTTTGTATCTTTAAACTTATTAAATCGTTATTTTCAGGTCATGCCATAATACAGTGTTTAGAGCCGATACCCACGAAAGGTTTGAGCATGGAAGATGTACCAGAACTTATAGAACGAGTACGTAACATCATGGATGCCGTGTACAAAGAACTATCAAAGGAAGTTCTCAGCGCATTACCACCAAACTATCCTTTGGCGACAACAGACTAATGAAAAAGTATGTTGAAAGAAACCTAAAAGTATTATATTAAAGCAGGCTTTATTATTAATACTGTAAAATATTTATATTTAATTAAACTTGTGTGGTAAATACATTCTCATGTCTGTGATGTATTAATGAGATTTATCGAAATTTTACCAATAAGGTTATGTTTATTTTAATATTGATACCCAATGTACACAAACACTTTAAAATTGAGGTTAGTTATGTTTACCCAATTTATTAAGTAAGCATGTTTATTGATCTGTAACACGTTGGGATCGCTTGATTTACGCTTCAATTCGATTCTAGAAAACACTGTGTGTATTTGTTGCATTAAATGAGCGTGGTGTAACGTAATTGAGTCTGTCGTTACGAAATGTAACTTGTGTGTTACATTTTCAGAATACAAATAATAGCGGACTGTTTGTTGTTCATAGCTCAAATTGCGTCAGTTTAGAGTGAATAGTCCAGAGTGGAATAACAATTAAGTATACTACTGAATGTTTTATAATTAAATTGTTTGTACCGTGTGTCCGTTATAATATACTATAGTTATGACATCACGAATAGAATAGTATATTTTTTTTATGTGATTGATCTAATCAATCTGATTCTGACGTTTTCATATAGGTAGATATTGAATTTTACACGAGTATTAAAACCTTTTATCATAGCCATAAATAAGAGACAGTGATTTTTTTTTACTATCGTATATTTTTTGTTTTTTGTTGGAAGACAAATTATCAATTTGAAAACATTTTTAATCTAAAATATTTACTTTATTTTTAGTATAAATTTTAAGTCGGCAGTTCAGCTGTCTTTAATCTTACGACAAGTTTTAAGATGTAGTTTAATATATAGATAATAATATAGGTACTTTATTACCTTTGTAATCTACACTTTTAATCACTTTTGTTATACCTAATTATTGTTATCCATTTTATAAACTGCATGAACTGGTAAAACCATTTTGTTTTTTATTATTGAAAAAACATTTTGATAACTTGTTTGTCGTAAGGTTCTTGTGGACAAAAGTGATTGAATTATACTAACAGAAATTCCTCGAATTAAAATTGTGCCATTTATGTAATTCGATCCAAAGATTACTTTAAAAAAGGGGGACCAGTAATATTTTCTCATAACAGATATTAACAATTTACCATTCCGAAATAAATTGCAAAGATTCTGCTAACATTTTCATATTTAAAAAACAATAACCCGGACGGATATTTTGCTGCTTTTTTCTTTGCTACTTTGGTATATTTCATTTGTATACGTTTAAACTTACCTATTAAGAGATATTAGCACTTAACTGTCGATAGTATTCATTTTCTTTATTTAGATCACACTTTCGACGTATAAAATTATTTAAAGTTTTAAATATCAACAAATATAATGAGACCTCTCTGACCAAGAATTAATATTCATTATTCAAACTTTTTTCAAGAAATATAAAACTTCCATAGTTCAAAACTCTGTAGTTGATTTTTGTTGTTATTAAAAAAATAATTTAATCATCATTTCAAAATATGTTAACATCGTTGTTTTTTAAATTATTAAGTAACTGATCTACTGAATGATGCATTCTATGTGATTGATATACTTTTACAGATATTACAAAAAATTGGATTATTTAAATTGAAACATCAATCTGGTAGCAATATCCTGTTCAATAAGTTGTATGGATGTATGTACAAACATACATTAATAATATTATAGCTAATTTTATAGTCCTGTATATTTCAACCAAATGTTTTTCGATTAAATTCGGGTTCCTAATATTTTTGTATAATGAAATAAGTTTTTAATTATAAGTATTTAGAAATTCATACATATGAGGCACTTTTTGTCAGTGCCTCAAAAATGTCTATATTAAAATTAGTCAATTGTTTCATCAAAATTATTTTATAGCAAAAATCGAAAAGCGATTATAAAATATACCCATTGACAAAAATATGAATTTATGTATTTTCTAGCTAGCATTTATTATTTTTCAAAATGTTTTTAAAATCAGTAACCTGCGTCCTGTTTCTCGAAGGGTATCAGCTCTAGTATTACTTTCAGTAATTTATAATTTTATAAATAACGTATTTCCAGAACCAGTTGAAACTATAAAAGCGGTTAATCCATCTATTTCCCCCAGGGGTTATACTTATCCAAATATTTCTACTATACTATTAAACATCCTTAATACAATTAGAGCTATAAATAAAATACATATATTATATACGCTGGATGAGGGAGGCGCAGGACCGATTTCTTTGGAGATCTTTGGGGGAGGCCTATGCCCAGCAGTGGGCGTCTCTCGCCTGATAAGATGATGATGATATTCGTTTGACACTTTTATTTTGGATAATACCAATGACTAAGTGACTATAGTGCCCTCCTTAGGAAGAGTACATTTATTTGGTTTGGCTACTTTTGAGCTAATCGCAATCAAAGATTAAATTTTGAGAATCAAAAGAATACATCATATCAAAAGAATCAAAACTACTGTCAACACAAAAAGAAACAAGAAAATAACGTAGATCGTATTTTTCTGCTCACAAATGACTGACTTATAGTTAGGACCGCAGAATATACAACCTATTAATGTTATAAAACATTTATATACTACTAGTAGAAATACTCGGACATATATGTATCCCAGTAAAATAATTCAGGGGCAATAGATGTATTAACCAAAATCGTTACGATTTATTAATATATGTGAATACAAACAAGTAATAATTAAATAAGACATTTCGAGAAACAAAGCCCTGTTCCAACTAATATTAAAATTTATTTTGTTCATTAATTTAAAATATATATATATATGAAAATCAGACAGCCTACTCTGTTTAACCACAAATGAAATTTCGAAAGTTCTTATAATTTTAATTCATATTCCTGAAGATTATCTGTGCATCAGAGGTAGTGACAGGTGCTACCTCCGTTACAACATAAATTATCGAATAATTCGTTTCTTTGTTAATAATATGACTATAGAAAATAGACGAAATTTCGTTTCCAGGGATTTTGTTATATTTTTCTAACTTTGTTGTAATATAATAGTTTCCTAAATTAGAACTCGTCATAACTTTCAATTAGCTATAAATGATACACGTTTGTATTTAGTTTTATTGACGACTTTACAGATTCCGTGTTCACACAAGACCAGTTTTTAATTAGCTGTTATGTGATATATTTTTAAACACATGAAACACATCGCGTGGGTTCACGCCTACCATTTAATGTTCTTAGCGAGAATCTCCGTAGATCTATGACCGTGACTTGACTGCCATATTGACCGATATAATTGCCGAGAAAATATATTATTTCATTGAATATAATGAATTTCAGGATATAGCTTGAAATTCGTATGCGATGGTTCTTGTCACTAGTCCTTGCTTGTTTTTTAAGCTTTAATTTAGATTGTTTTATTCTTAAATATTCCTAATAACCTTGAATTTTGCACATGTAATAGGAGTATGCAAATCAAATGAAGAGAATATTACGTAAACCTACTTTAAACTGCAATATATCATTAAAATAATACCGTTCTAAAAATGGCCCCTAGTTCATTGTACCTTGACTTCAAAAGTCGTATATGTCATTTTGGCTTAAACTATTTTTTTACCATCAACTGTTTATCTTAATTTTGACCAAAATGAAGTTTACTCAATTTGGAGCCCAAAATGACACCCGTCTTAAATTTGGTTTGCTGCTTCCATCTACATTTGAAAGTGCAAGATGAGTCATACTTATTTTACGCTTGGTAAGATTTTTATAACTTATAATGTAACCATATCTTATGCAATACATGTCTGCTATGTGGACTTATATATAAATCATTGTATGTAATTTCGATTAAAGTCTTATAATCACCAAAGTGTGTGTAGTAATCCCGAACATTGTGATTAATAGTATTAAATTTAAACTTGTGTATAATTTATTGAGACATTGGCATTGAAATATGTAACTATTTTTCCATATTTTCATATGTGAAGTCTTTTAATAAAAAAAATATACAGGAAGAAATATTTTTATTTAAAAATAAACGATAATAATTTAAATAATCTTTGTATAACGTAAGTAATATTTACAAAACTTGTACAATAATATAACGATAAACAACGAATTTTTGTATTTTTATCACAGTTCATTAGAATTTCGGCCTGTCATTGAACTACCTGAAAATATTAAAAGAAGTCGTTAAAATCATTCGACAATGACTAGTGGCTGTCTCTACTAGTCTAAGAGTTCGTGCCAAAAATGTACAAGAGCTTTGTTCCAGATCCTCACTGGGTACTGAGTGATGTATATCCTTAGTACCTCAACATGCTGAAATATAAAAACTTTCGGTGTTTGACACGAGCTCTCCGTCTATACCGCATAACTGAAGCCCTGATAAGTCTGACAAAACGAAGCTCTGAACGATTTTCCTCACTGACAGATCAACTGTCAGTAGACTAATCAGGATTGGTCTACAATATATAGGATCCCATTTTGACGGCACAATCCCCGGAAGCCCGTTCAGTTACGTGGTAAATTTACAGGGTGGGGACTATGACTCGTTTTTAACACGTTCACTAATGACACTTCATAGTGAGGCCGCCAAGAGAATGCGTTTCTGACGTTTTTTATTGTCTATGATTTAACAGTAAAAATATTTTTATTGTTATTGCCCTATTAATAAATATTATGCATTAAAAATGACATTATTGTCTCAAGGAAGTATTTAAAAAAAACTAGATCACGCCACGGTACGTTCTTGATTTCTCCATGACAACCTTTCCGGTTTTCTTTCATGTTTAAAAGTCAACTAGTTTTCAAAATTCAATAAACAACTCATACTCCATTCGTACTTTTTCGTATTTGTATTGATATCTAAGTTTCGAACTTTTCAAGATTTCAGTTTTCTAATATGTTAGTTGATAGGAACGGAAATGACTGTCTTTGGTCCGTTCGTTTCCTGCAAAAATCAACTTTTGCTAGAGTCGCCATCTAGTGAAAGTGTTTTTTTAATACTTCCTCATTGACAGTGTTTCTAATAATTCTGTTCTAAATGTAAAGCTAAATAACGTCATCGTAAAATAACTGAAACATCACTAGTCATTTGCATTTGACAGACATTCATGAAGAGCGCATTCTCTCTACAACCAAAGAATCTAATTTGTATAGAATTTGGTAATTCTCGATAATTAACGCTAGGTGATCGCTATGCTGGAGTTATATAACGTTTCCATGTTAATTTTTACGACAGGATTTTTCATCAAAGAGTATAAGCAGTTTGATCGGTGCTAACGACTGAAAGAAAATGTAGCTAGAACCAATGCCTTGACTCAGTAGCGGCGTTAGGGTAGGGCGCGGTTGGGCGACCGCCCAGGGGCGCCGGACGAAAAGGGGCGCAGCAGGACGCGGCGCCCCTTTTTCGTCCGGCGTTTCTTTCTGATTCTATATAATGAGGAAGTATTTAAAAAAAACGAAAGCACTACAAAAATACCTCCACCTAGATGGCGACCCTAGCAAAAGTTGATTTTTGCAGAAAACGAATGGAATAAAGACAGTCATTTCCGTTCATTTTAACTAACATATTAAAAAATTTAAAAATTAAAAGTTCGAAACTTAGAAATCAATACAAATATGAAAAAGTACAAATAGAATATGAGTTGTTAATTGAGTTTTGAAAACTAATTTACTTTTAAATATGAAAGAAAACTGGAAGGGTTGTCATAGAGAAATCAAGAACATACCGTAGTGACATCTAGTTTGATTTCGGGAACTAATTTTTTTTTTCTAATACTTTCTCGTTTCCCACAGACGCCCTCTTGTAGTTCCCTTGCTCATTGAACAAGAACAAGAACCTTGAGGATTTTTTTTTATTATTTTCAAGTTGCCTCACTTTCAGCATTAATTAAAGGATACTTAACAAGAAAAATATTATATTATGGTAAAAAAGAACAACATACCGATTACCAATATGAAGATATGTATTTTATTAGGTAATATGACGTACATTGGCGGGCATTATCGCTTGGTCATTTAAGAAAATTTTCGTTTGAGCATGTTTAAACGTTAAGCTGAAGCTAAAATGCTGCAATACAAACGAATGCATCGGCAGTGGAGCCTCTGCCTGGCAAGTCAAATGGAATAGCTACTCAAGAGATTGTGGATGAAAAATCCCGAAGTAAATTAATTGAGCTATGATTACAGATGCTGCTCTGTTATTGATCTGTTATTGATGTACAACAAATACATGTACTAGATGATGTTGTCCCGAATATAGCGGATCCAGCTACTTGTCCACTTATTTGAAATAGCAAAATAATTGATCATATAATAAGTAATGGCCCACTGCAAACTCACTCTCACAAAGTTACAACAATTATGTGACACCCTATTAGGGTAAAAATGAATCTGTACTTATACACTATTCATGTCTACTTTTTAAATAAAACTAATGTCACTATATAGTTGGAACAAAAGCATCGTAACGTAGCGTTAAACGTTTGATTACTGTGTTTGTTTGTTTTAAAATAATCGAATAATTGTTTTAAGAGCGTCCACATATGTCAAGCAAGAAGATAATTGTTGATTGTGTTCTTCTTCGTCAAAAATTAAAAGAGATAGATCTAGGATATCCCCGATTATAGAAAAACACATTGTTTCTGTATGGTCGGAAAGTCGGGGATTCCCGAGAAATTAAACCGATTGAACACTACGTTCCATTCTAATGCTGCCAACTTAACAATCTACCTAAATTTAGGGCAAATTACAAGTAAGTAGACCGGGTCGTGAAAAAAAGACAAGTAACTGATTTGAAGTATGTAGTGGTAACTTATTGTAATTGAATTGCAGTTAGAGGGCGCCGAAGAAATTTCGCCCAGGGCGCTAGTAGTGCTAAAACCGGCACTGCCTTGACTTTCCTTCTGAAGCATATGAGATAGTTGGTACCTAAAATCTTGGTCACACACAGTGCCGGTTTTAGCACTACTGGCGCCCTGGGCGAAATTGCTTCGGCGCCCTCTAAGGGGCCGTCCATTAATCACGTGATGTTTTTTTTGGCATTTTTTAAGACTACCCCCCCCCCCCCCCCCCCCCCCATATATCACGTGTATTTTTAGTACTTACAATGAATCTTAATTTTCTAATTGTATTATAGACAATTAAAGAGTACAATAATGTCTAGAGGTAGACGTTTGACGATAAAATAATTTTATTACGCTTATTTACGCAGCTTTTCGGTTGAGTATCGCGCGTTTGTCGAAAAAATAAATACACGTGATATGTTACTTAACCCCCTAAATTTTGGTAGATTGTTAGGTTGGCAGCATTAGAATGGAAAGTAGTGTTCAATCGGTTTAATTTTTAGGGAATCCCCGACTTTCCGACCATACAGAAACAATGTGTTTTTCTATAATCGGGGATTCCCTAGATCTATCTCTTTTAATTTTTGACGAAGAAGAACACAATCAACAATTATCTTCTTGCTTGATATAAGTGGACTCTCTTAAAACAATTATTCGATTATTTTAAAACAAACAAACACAGTAATCAAACGTTTAACGCTACTTTACGATGTTCTTGTTCCAACTATAAAGTGACATTAGTTTTATTTAAAAAGTAGACATATAAATAGCGTATAAGTAGCTGATTCATTTTTGACGGATCACATCATTAGGTAACAGTACAGATTCAATTTTACCCTAACAGGGTGTCACATAATTGTTATCTATAACTTTGTGTAATTGTTGTAACTTTGTGACAGTGAGTTTGCAGTGGGCCACTACTTATTATAGGTATAAGCAATTATTTTGCTATTTCAAATAAGTGGACAAGTAGCTGGATCCGCTATATTCGGGACAACGACAACAGTATCAACATCATCTAGTACATGTATTTGTTGTACATCAATAACAGATTTATCCTGAGCAGCATCTGTAATCATAGCTCAATTAATTTACTTCGGGATTTTTCATCCACAATCTCTTGAGTAGCTATTCCATCTGACTTGCCAGACAGAGGCTCCACTGCCGATGCATTCGTATGTATTGCAGAATTTTAGCTTCAGCTTAAGGTTTTAAGCATGCTCAAACGAAAATTTTCTAAAATGACCGAGCGATGATGCCCGCCAATGTACGTCATATTACCTAATAAAATACATATCTTCATATTGGTAATCGGTATGTTGTTCTGTTTTACCATAATATAATATTTTTCTTGTTAAGTTTCCTTTCAATTCATGCTGAAAGTGAGGCAACTTGAAAATAAAAAAAAATCCTCATGGTTCTTGTTCTTTTTTCGCCGACCCAGTAGGCCTTGTTGAATGAGCAAGGGAACTATAAGAGGGCGTCTGTGGGAAATGAGGAAGTATTAGAAAAAAAACATTAACTTCCAGTTTACTTTCATGTTTAAAAGTAAATTAGTTTTCAAAACTCAATTAACAACTCATATTCTATTTGTACTTTTTCGTATTTATATTGATATCCAAGTTTCGAACTTTTCAAGTTTCAGTTTTTTAATATGTTAGTTAAAATGAACGGAAATGACTGTCTTTGTTCCATTCGTTTCCTGCAAAAATCTACTTTTGCTAGAGTCGCCATCTAGGAGGAGGTATTTTTGTAGTGCTTTCGTTTTATTAAAATCCTTCTCATTATACAGAATCAGAAAGAAGCGCCGGACGAAAAAGGGGCGCCGGGGCCTGCGGCGCCCCTTTTCGTCCGGCGCCCCTGGGCGGTCGCCCAACCGCGCCCTACCCTAACGCCGCTACTGGTCACACATCCGACGGTCAGCCTTTGCGAAAGACGCTTAACCTCCGCAATTGCAGACTTAGGGAGCCGATCTCAGCGCTATCGAACTCTTCAAATATGCTAACTAAATAAAATAAAGCAGTTGCATACCTCATTTGTCGTGTACCAGTTTGGTGCGCCACGCCTTTGTCTCCATTGAGGTCTTCGTGAATTCCTCTTGCATATTCAGTTGTACTTTCTCGATAAGTGATGTAAGGTGCTCCGTTTCCATTCCCTCAGTCTCGATCATTGGCATTATTGTTATTATAATTTCACCTGAAAATGAATAAGTACTATTCCAGATTATATTATTATGATGTTAGACTATCTATAACATACGATTTTGAACTCTATAATAGAAGCAATAAGGCTTTCCCAAACGGCCAAGGCGCCATCTCCACGAGCGAGAGAATCGCGGCGATATTATCGTCGTGCCACGTATCCCGACATATTCCCGATTCTCTCGCTCGTGGAGACAGCTCCCAATGCTATCTCAATCGATAAAATATGACATTATTATTTTTGGGATCGGCAAATTATAACTCATTATACCTATATAAACTTGAGGCTCTCGAGTTTAATTTACAAAAAAGATTACAAATCCTGTAATCTATCTACAGTTGAGTAGCCATACTGACTATGATTTAGAGCATTGCTTTTTCTTAGTCATTATATATTTGAAATAACATGTTTCGGCAGTTCTTTAAAAACTAAAATTTTATAAATTGTAGTTTTTGATTCTTCCGTCTATTGTGTTTAAAATTCATGTGGCAACCCCACTAAACCCCTTCCAATAGTGAGGGTACACTTTTGGGTAAAAGGCTTGTCAACTGGCAGTGTCTGCTCCAGATGACGACTCATTTTTTTTTTTGTTTGTCCGTCAGGTATGTAGATTGTTGAAAATATTAAACACGAGTTTTTAATTGTTTGCGTAATCATTAAATTACAGCTTAACATTGAGTTAAAATATCACATGACTTCGCGCTTTTGTACATTTTTTACAAAATTGTGACTTAGCGAGCCCCCACTTCAACTTTAATGCCCGTTATCTAAGCTATTTATTGTTAAATTGAAGTAAAAAAAATACGTATCTAATATTTTTCTGTTATCTAAATGACACATACGTATACGTAATAAACATACAAGTGTGATTATCTGTAATAATATATTAAAAACTATCAGCAAAAATACATGTATACTTATGTATTTATTTTCGTTTACTATCTACACCCGTATTGGCCTGCTGGTATCTTAGGTTCTAATAGCCGCATCAAGACGCGAACCAAAATGCGTGGATTACCTTCAATCTCTAATAACTAATAAATATTTTTTATTCGCTCTTCACTATGTCTCGGTGGTAAGTAGTGAACAAATATTAGACTAATCAAATTGTAGAAAAGTAAATGATTGTCAAATCCATTTGGTAAAAATATTTCATAGAAATATAACTTTCATATCTTGTCGCTACGATAGAATTTTGAGCATTCCTAAGCTTAAGTAATGTGTGAAGACACTACGTTACTCTTCGATTCATACATTTTATAAGCGTTTTGCATTGAATATAGATACCTGAGTCAAATCTGCGGCGTTTCGAATCTAAAAAGTGATATTTGGAGACGACAACTGGTTGAACAGGTGCATTTGCTGCCATGGCTACGTGGAATGCGCCTTTCCTAAACGGCAACAATTTATCGCCACTGTGTCTCGTGCCTTCAGGGAATAGTAGCAGCTTCCGCTGTAACGAAGAATTTATATTTCAATGATTATAGGTAATTATAACTGCCACTTGAGACTCGAAATCTATTTGCGGGACTGAGAAGTCTAAGTACCGTGAGATCCTGGTATTTGCGGAATCTCGCATGTTTCTGAAAGTCGCTGATAAAAGAGAGAAATCCTGTATCATAAATGCATATAGAACTAAAAAATTAAACGACAAAAAATATTATTCAAAATCATGTATTGAATCTCTCGATAAAAATATAGAACTATACAATAAACGAAAAAATTTTTACAAAGAGACAATAGAAAGTTTAAGCATTATTTTGAAAGTAACTGCGCATAAAACATAGATTAATAGTTTTGTCTGCCAAACGAGTCCTAACTTTAGGTACATGCCAGATAGCCAACAGCAGAAAACGCTCGTTCTGCATCCACGCTTGTGAGTACAACTATTAATAAAGCATTGTATATTAATGACGAATTGAAAATATTCGCCTTTAAATCCACCAGACTCGAACAAATTTATTTCTTTCTTAATCAAAACATCGAGATAATGAACTCCAAAATTAGTGCGACTAGCGGCTTTAAAACTCAGTAGAGTTTGTTTAAGTTCATCTTGAAGGCACATCGGTTCAGGTTCCGTAGTTTCAACTTGCACAGTTGCGGCTAATGTAGCATAGGTTAATCATCATGAACTTTAGTGGACATAGAAGACGTCGTACAAGCATCTTATCAGATTAACGTTGATTCTGAGTGGTGGTATCTCTTATTGAATTGTAATCTTTCTACGAGTTTACCGTTGCGCAGTCCCGCTAATTCCGAAGGATTCCACTCAATTTATGGGCGGCATAATTATATTCTTCTAGTCTCTATACGATTAATGTATTTAATTACTCATTTGGTCAGGTTTGGACAGGTAATTATCAAAAACTAGTGGCCGCCAGTGACTTCGTCCGCGTTTTCCATTATTTCTTCGCTCCTAATAGTTGCAGCGTGATGTTATTTTTCCTCGATAAATGGTCAATCCAACACAAAAAGAATTTTTCAATTCGAACCAGTAGTTCCTGAGATTAGCGCGTTCAAACAAACAAACAAACAAACAAACTCTACAGCTTTATAATAGTACAGATTATTTTAAATGCATGCCTTAATAAAAACGGATAAGTTATCTAATAAGCTGGTAGAGCTTTATACTCCTCTAGCATTATCTCAGTTGAACCGGGTTCAAAGTTTAGATTATTATACTACATTATTTTTAATAATTATGCCCCAGGAACTTAGACAGTGCGACGTGCGTCAGTCTATTGCTACTTTGATCTCAACTCAAAAACTAGTTGCATACCTACTTATTCCGCGACTGTTATCATTTGTTTGTATTCAGGGTTCATATGAGTCAATAGAATAGTAACGCTTATTAGTTTATAGATCGTCAAAGTCGATCAATAATTTACTCACTCCACTAGAAAAATGAACAACACCTACTCCAATAAAATCAGTTATTCCATAGCTCTTGTTTTTATAAAACTTTATTTTTATTATTTGTTTGCATTAAAACTTCGAAACTACTGAACCAATTTCAAAAATACTATGGTAAGCAATGCTATGTTAAAAAAAAAACTGCAAATCCAATCTCAATAAAAATTTAATCTTAAGCCCATTGTTTTTGTATGGAATTTTGAAAATCTTTCTACGAATTGACTATTATTTTACTAGTTATCCTGATCGCGTAACTATAATACCGGGTAGGTACGCATAATATAGCGAGTCAACACCTAGGTTAATTAGATAATTATACTCGGCTTCGTCCTTCGAGATTAGCAAGAATCATGTTAACACTTGTAGTATCGCGCAGTGATCGCCGTTCTTGCACAAAACAAAGTTCGTTTAATAACAAAGTTCGTTTAATCATCAAATATTGTCATTACGCGTTCCAATCACAAATGGAATATCAGATTGTAGATCCACAGTTGGATCTTATATTACACCGAAAGAAACTAAAGGAATGAAAAATTATTTGTATGAAAACATTAAAAATACCAATACACACCGAATCGCCAAAATTCTTGTAATAGATTTACCTAAAGGAAATTACTTTCTATTTATTACATTATTTGGTCAGTTATTTTATCAATCAAAGAAACAATGTGCATTTAGGTTACCCACTTAATGAAATTTACGTTTGCAAACAATTCAGGCTAAAGTTCACAAAATTCAAATCTATTTCGTTATCTTAATATTTATAGATACACGTGATTTAGTCGCTTTGCCATTGTGAAATTAGTCATTAAACAATATTCCGTGTTTACACCATCATAAAACGATACGAACACGGGTTTCAGTTAAGTAGTGATAATGAATCAATGTATCACCGATGACGAAATCATAACACACCCATTAAAATACCTACAGAATACGTCTACGTTACTGCTATAAGCTACAAAAATATAACGTTAACCATCCACGAAAGTAGTGTCGGATTATAAATAAACAAAATAAGCAATTGCTTAGGATATCACGTCTTAAGGTCACCAGAAACCGGCCTGTTCAAATAGGCAAACAAGGCAAATGCCTAGCTAGGGCGCTAGTGCTTGAGGGCCGGCATGGCATGGCAAATACTTTATGTTTGCTCTAAATACACATTTATACGTTTCTTTGAACATGAGTCCATTTCCGCATTATTCAAAAGTACCTAAGGAATTTCTTTTTTCCTTGGTAAAATGACACCCCTTAATCGTTATACCCACATTAGTCTTTTATTTTATTGCAGGATTGGCAAAAATTATATGTTTATAATAAATACCAAAATATCCGATATATAATGCATATGAAAACCTGCCATTTTTGAGCTATCTACTAGTGTCTTTATTTAATATTTAATTTTTTAAATCAAAACTTTAATAAAAAAATTAAAAAAAGTATAAAATAAAGAGTTAATTAAGGTTACTTAATATTTGTTTATTTAATATAAAATAATTCAAAAATAGTATGCGTGCGAGGATTTATAGGTGAAAACCCGAAATTTCTAATAAATAATATTGTTAGTTCGGGCCAATGTTGCCAGCATTACATCGGGTTGGTAATTTTTTTAGCTAAGACTCAATTGTCAATACTTAAACTAACAATAAATATTATGAATATCAATTGATATATATCAACGTATATATCAATCGATATATATCTTTTTTTTTTCAATTAACGTGTATAGTCTTGCAAGTTACAACTGTCAAGTACTTAACAATAGATTTTGAGATACGCGGATTATCTGACGGACACACGGACATGGTGAAACTATAAGGGTTCTTTGTTTACGACGGAACCCTAAAAGTATATTTTTGCAAAAACGGTGTACATTTTAATACTCTATAGATAATATCTTTACCAGATTACTTCGACACGATACTCTTATCGATTTCGGCTTATCGTCTAAACATCCGTAACCAAATTTAGGATCCGTGTTTTAATCAGATTAATTATGTAGGTATGTAACCTATTGCTTATACCTCTACCTGCATATAACAGTAAAGAACTTAGTAGAAATTTCACAAGTTGTCTTGTTAGATTATTAACTAGATACGACAATATTTATCGCTACTAGGATATGGTGAGGGGAGTAGTCAAGTTAATTGTTACATAACTAGGTATCACAAAAAAGCCAGTAAAGTGTTAATAGGTCAAGAGAGAGAAAAACGTGGACATCATTTACTAATTAATAAAAATAATATTTTTTCTTGAATAGATACATTATTTCTATTCATGTAAGTTTATAAACCGCTTATAGGTGACGGAAGTCGCAAAGTTGTGAAAAGCAATAATCATTTAAAATTCAATGCACAAGAAATTCATTGTTTTATGAACTTATAAAAAATGGATGTCGTATACGAGGTATTACCAAAAAGGTTAGACAACATCAACACCATGCTTATCATTACATATTAAATTATCAATAATTTGAAGCCCAATGAGCGTAACACCAAAACACTACTTTTCAGGACAGCCAAAATACTACAATAAAAATATTATATTAGACACAACTATGTTGTTCTATTAATGTGATTCTTACATCAAAAGTCGTTAATTTTTGTTGTGCATAATATTAAAACAAAGTTTTAAGAAATATTTATAACTTAAAAAAATCTGGTGAATACGCCTTACAAAGTCAGACATGTATGACTTTTACACCCCATAAAATGTGTATCCTAACGACTAGTTCCAGAAAGGTTATACCCTAGAGTTTAATTTGAAAAGTTCGTTTACGTCCAATACTTTGATGATGTCTAATTAATAATTGCTTTTACGTGTAATGATGTAATATATGAAAAAATCTGCATTACCAACTGGAAAAAATTGAAGTCATGGCGTAGCGAAGAAACTGAATAAGATGACATTCAAAACTCATTTTGGAGAAAATGGTGACTACGCCCTTTGAGCGGCAAGGTGTCGATATTGTGTATATTTTTATTACGACGATCCCAGTCCACACATGAGCCAATAAACTGACTGAAGTGTTTAGTATGCAAAGATTACTTTATATGGCCTTCGACATGTTGACTTTGACACGGTTCTGAAGGTTCGGTGACTAACTAAAATCACAGGAAGTTAACACATTGTAGGGATGCCTCTATTGATATCGGAAACTGGCTCCTTTTCAAGGACGATTTAAATACATAAACAATATTGTTTTGTGGCTTCGCCGAATATTGAATCGAGCCCCGTTCATTACAAAACTCATAAGTAAATTCTAACTGATTCTTAAGCTTGAACTTGATACAATTTTTATTATTTTATACAGCTTACAGTATACAGTACAGACTTGGTGAACTCTGTAAAAGTGTAGTTTTTACTATTTTCCTATCATATTTTTTCACTCTAAGATTGAACTTCCGTTGAACTGCAACGGTATTATTAATTAAAAATACCCGAATTGGATACAGATCCAAATCTGAAGAGATCAAAACTGAGAGAGAGTTTTGTGCTTAGTAACAAAAAAAATACTCATTTTTAAAATCTTTTTTAGATCCTTATGGCCGCCTCCTATTCGAAGGAAGAGTCAAATGCCTAACCAATATTGTTTTGTCGCTTCGCCGAATATTGAATTAGCATACGTTCAATTTTCTTACGTTCGATTCTTTAGTTAGAGCTTGACAGGGTTCTTATCTATAGTAATATTATAAAGAGGAAAGATTTGTTTGTGTTTGTTGATATGCTTTTTTTGCATCGAACAAGCTCCGAAACCACTGGACCGATTTTAAAAATTCTTTCACCTATCTGTACATCATAGCTACATCATACGGGGTTGACATAGGCTATAATTTACGTCTACGAAGTCGCGGGAAAACTGCTATTATTTTATAAAGCTGGCTAAGCGAACTTCGTATCGCCGTTTTGTAAAAAAATGTGTCGTATTTGCTATTTCCCTGCCATTATCAATTTTTTCACTACAACGTAGAAGTTTTCTCGAACTAATTAAAAAAATGCCGAATTGAATCTGCTTCACTCCAGTTTTGTGCTAAGCTTGGCTTACCTTTGATTTATAATAATAAAATAAACTAATGCTACATCAATCATCATATATAAGTTAACAATAAAAATCAATTTGACTTCTACTCTAAGATCGATTATAAGATCCTCATTTTAAACCACAAGTATAAACAATAGCCATCTATTTTGTCCCTGGCACTCTGAGATATAACTCGAACCCATGACCTTTCGATATTTGGGACACTGTTCTAACCACTGTGCCTAAAAGAACCTAAAATTTGTCAGTCCTGATAGATCCTGGATAGCTCAGAGCAATCTTCCCGGATTGATATGTTAAAACGAGATATTTAATAATCCTCACCTTCTCGTTCTTTATGGCCTCCGCTTGTTTGTTGAGAGCCTCTCGTGCCGACTGCGCCCCTCGATCAATGAACACTGTTCCCCACATCCAGGAAGCAGTACCAAACGGTACCATGTATTGTAGCGAGCGCTTTGCCACCACCGTACACCGAGCCATCAGAGGCCATATCACTGCTAAAACTGAGAAAAAACATTTAATTAATAAACTTAATCATTTTTACCACTGAAAAAACCTTTTACTTGATATACTTTGGCATAACAACTAATGCCGATCTACCGTTAATGCCTCAATGCCACTAACCTAGAACAAAGCATAGCTTAACTAAGAAATGTCTAATATTAGGAATCGCCTAAGCAGATAGTTTAATTATAAATAAATATTGTTTATTATATTTTGATTAATTTTGCATTCTCATTGCCATACTGAAAAATATTTTTAATACAAAACGCTTCAAAATTCGATCGACGACCACGAATCGACCTTTCGCAATCCGGGCGAATTGCGAAAGGTCGTGGGTTCGATTCCCATCTCAGGGAGCCAGGGACCAAGTGGATTTTTTAAGCGTTTTGTATTAAGAATACTTTTTTCTTTTATCCCATGACATATTTATGAACTGTCAAATGCCTAGCGCAAGGATCCGCATAACGAATATCATAACTTTAGACGTTGCTTAATTTCGTTAAGTGGCTCCTCGTCAATGGTGAAATCCATTTTTTACCTTAGGCGATTTCTAAATATTTAACAGACAGATTTGGGCGACTCCTAAGTTTAGTGAAAACGGGCATCAGAATTGTAACGTCACATTTTCATGGTCTACTGATAAATCTTGATCACGGCGTGCGTGTTATATTGAAGGAAACTTTGCAGGAATCCACTATTTTGAGCAAGAGCTCATACTTGCACTTTGCTTGTTTTAGGATGGTTATAACTTTTTTAAAGTCTGGATCTATCCCTGTACCGACGGCACGTCAGGCTATACAAAACTGTAAAATTTGTCCCCTTGATTTTCTTAATCTTAATGCCATTGTAAGTAAAGTTCAAAATCAATAGAGAAAATTTGACGTATTGTGGTAGGCTCGCGTGCAGCCGTGAGGTAGTCTAATCAAAAGCTGATAAAAGACTTATCTATAAAGAACTAATAAATATTAAGTGAATTTGAAATTATGATTATTTGGACTAATAATTTCGATTGACAATCAGCAACAACTCAAACATTCCGAACCCGCTGCGATGAACGACTAGATAACCCCACGCTCTCCAGCATCCCACTTAGAGATAGCTCGCGTATTCCCACTTAGAGAAACCTTGATTTCAAATGTAACCTAAACACCGTGGTTTATAAAAACAAAATCCGAATTTTAATAGAGATATAGGTTGGTATATACCACCGGCTTGGGATCCAGTAATAAGTCAAATAAAATCTCAATCCAGATCACACATTGCAAAACCAAAAGATACATGTTGTAAATGTAAATCAAAGGAAGCAATTTAATTTTCTTTGCCGAAGTTTCGCCGAAAATATAAACGCGATGAAACCGTTTCAAAATTTTTACATTTACATAAAATTATTTTAGGTTCTCACCATAGAGGTCGAGCCCGCTCTGGTGGTTTATCAGTACCACTGCACCTCTAGTGTTGTCTATGTTTTCCAGTCCACGCACAGTCCAACGGATACCCAATGAGCGAGCGGTCCACCTTAGTAACGCTGCTGGTATCCTGAGAAAAGGACGCTACTTATTAATAAGTACATATCTTCATATCTAATTGCCTAAAAAAATATTAGGTGACATCATATACATTGCTCAGATTCCAAGATAAGTAGCTAAAGCCCCCGTATTATGGAGTATCTGAGACAACGAAGGTACCATAACACCCAGACCCGACATAGTATAGAAAAGTCCATTTTCTACATCGACCCGGCCGGGAATTGAACCAGAGACTTCAGAAATGGCGACACCTTTATACCAACGAGCATACGGCTACAGAGGTCGTTGCTATAATGTAATATTGTCATTGGCGAAATAAAGGAGGCTAATAACAGTTTAATTTTGCGAATAACCGACTAATATTCAGATAGTCAGTAGTATCTACGCTCCACCCTTCCAACCATACATCGACGTACACACGTTCTGGGCCAAGGGGGACGATCAGAATTCTGGATCAGTGACGGACTAAGGGGGAGGGGGCAGTGGGTGCGGCCCGCACCAGTTCTCTAGTCCGCTACTGTTTTAGATGCAAGGAACGCAAATTAAAGTTCTGAACGCCATGGCAAATCGTAGTTCTAGGTGCCCGGAGTACCGTTGCCAGATTCGTTTTTCTAAATATCGGGACATTAGCATAAAAAAAGCGGGACTGGGGTGAAAAAGTCGGGACAGAATAAAACATTTACAATATCGAAACTCATTCAAATTTCTATTTGAAATGCATTTAGCTCGGCATACATTGCCGTTTTTGTTTGCAACTGTCCATTCTCATACCTAGGTATAACGCAATATATGCCGCATTGGACTTAGGAAATCGGGAAGTGTAATCGCTACTACATTTAACTCTAAAAACAAAAACATAACATAAAAGGAACTTCTTTTCTATGAGATCGCGCGCCTCGCATGCATAGTCGGCAGTCGTTCACTCACATAGTGATTACCGGTATGGTTGAAAAAGCGGGATTTTGGGCGTCCCGCTCAGGGGTCTGGTGGGACGTGTCCTGAGAGGGCTGAAAAGCGGGACATCCCGCTAAATGCGGGACGTCTGACAACACTAGCCCGGAGAGAAGGCAAAAGAGTTTTGAGTTTTGAAAAGGCTATTTATAATCAACAATTGATAAAGATAGGTATTCAAAATCTGGTGGAGGGCCAGCTGCCCTACTCACAACCACGCAACCTCTATAAAAAAAATCATACCATAACAACAATTATTATTACGACGTAAAAAAGGTCAAACAGACATCTTTCTCATTTATAATACCTATAGTCAGACTTACAATTACCTTAATTAACTAACCTATAGTCAGACCTACAGATTTAAATTATATAAAACTTGGTAATAGGATGTATGACAGTTACTTACAAAGCATTTTTTGGATCGAATGGCTTCAAAAACATCAATGGCAAAGGTGCTGATGCGAATACCAAGGACAGCACTACAAATAAAGTGAACTGCAAGCAAAATAGTACAAAAAAAAATTTAAACATTTTCATCGACATCTTTTAAATTCTGCCCCTTACATGCCGACCTTGAATTCGTGTAGTATCTATTACTATTGAATTTGATATCAAATATTTTTCAATGATAACCAATACACAGCAAAATATAATATAGACAAATAGCTTCTCATATGCGACATGCCTATTCTCTTTTTTATATTGGCAAACAAAAGATTAAATCCTCAATATGATTTAAGTCAATCGCAAGTTATCTGACTCCAATAGGAGATTAATTACTCATAATACTGATAATTATAAAATGGAATAATCTGGGATTTCAGAAAATTCCAATAAGTAAAAGTCGTAGCGTTCATTACTGTTAAAATAATAATTAAGTCAATAAAACTACTTATAGATATGTATGATTTAGAGAATATTTTACCTTTATATAATATCTGGCCATAGAGCTGATGGTAAACAGTATAATAAGTAGGGCCATTATGCAACCCACAACGACGTTGAACGCGGACATCTTCGTTGTCCTACTGTCTGTAACAAAGAAAATATAATTTCCATTGAGATATTATACAACGGATGACTTGTTCTTATCCTTCCTCGACTGAGGGTTATCTATGAGAAGAAAAAGCGGTCACATAGGGCGCTTGTGCACTACACTGAATTTTCATGTCCGGCGGTCCGATTTTTTCAGGTCCGATATGTCAGGCCATATGTAGGTAATGCGCGCTTGTGCACTGTCAGGAATTTTACCGTCCGGAATTTTACTTTTCTCTATTCCGGACCGGTTTTTTCAGGTCCGTGATGGCGGCAATGAAAAACGTGTTTACGCTTGTGCACTGCTGCGTCCGAGATCCGGAAAATTCATAAGGAATAGGCTTGGGAAAAAATAATCGCTTTGAATCGATATTTATTTCGGCAATATTGTTAATTTCCAATAAACTTATAATCGATATTTATTGTTGATTATAAAATGCTATATTTTATATCATGATTTAATATAGTCGGTATCACTGCATATGCTTTGGCATATGCTCGGTATTGTTCTAATTTGATCAGCGTATGGTTCTAGTATCGATACTTAGCTAGATTTTAGAATTGTATTAAAAGTATCGATAGCTTAAGGTAAGATAAATAAGTGTTGTTACGCTTAGACGCCTAAACAACTGAACTCATCTAAATGGAAATTAATATAGTAAATAGACTTAACTTTAAGAAAGGACTTAGGCTTCATTTTATCGCGAAAAATAGGGGATGAAAGTTTGCCTGGAAATTTGTCATTATCAGTTTTTTTTAGACAATTGATAAATATAGATAAATATTTGACAACAGAAGTAATAATAAAGAATAAACAGAAGATTAACAAAAGTAATTAAGTGACACTCAATGTCTTCTTCGCATTTAATAAAATTTTAAATGTATGTTTGTGTCATTAATGAATTTTAAAAAAATAAGTATTCTAAGGGAATAATATTTCTGCTCAAAGAAACTACACTACGCGTAAATTATGCCTATATATAATATAGTCAACTGATCTCGTAAAGTTCATTTAGCATAATAATTCTCCGCTAACACGGCACTAATTTCGATTTGTTTACGAAATGGCACCACCGATTGGTCTATCTCTGTAATCGCTGAAAGTTGTTTTTACAAAACTTTCGAAAAAAAAATAGCACGTTTAAAAATTTAAACATCAAGTACTAGACCATTATCAGTAATTTTATTCTAATGTCACAGATATTTTTAACAATTGTATGTGAATAATGCTGTTCCAAAATTAGTAAGTTATTATAAGTTTTTACATCTGATAGTAGTCATCCGATAGTAGTAAAAAAAATGCTTCATTCGTCTTGCCATAATTTATTATGATTTATGTAAAACGATCAGATCATTATTTAGGTACCTTTCTACGTCTTCGAACGGAATTACCGACATTCCAAAAATCTCATCGTACATAGCGTAAGTGACGTGTAGCTTCAAAGAGAGCTGCCCTACACTGCGCCGCTCCGATCAGGAAAAAAACGGACAAGTGCACAAGCTACTCATCCGAGTTTTTCATGTCATTCCGGACCGGAAAAAATCGGACCGCCGGACCTGAAAATTCAGTGTAGTGCACAAGCGCCCATACAGATAGAAAATAATAAAAACCATAGACTACTTTAAGATTTATATTTTTTCAAAAACTTACTCGTAGAATTAAATTATGAATAAAAATGATATGTATTCTAATAAAAATGACTTCCATTTGATTGTTAAACTGTTCTTTTTTTTTTAAACTTTGGGTCACCGATTTAGATCCACTAACAAACAACGAGAACGCGAGTGATAGGACACCAACAATTACTTTATCGGGCTAATAAACGGGATAGGGTACTCCTAAACGTTGAAGTTCAATTTTTCTCTGAATTTAAAAGTTTAAATAATATAACACAAATATTAAATACTAGGCTGCTGTGATGTAATATGATTCAAAATATTATCAAGAGCGATAAGATTTTTGTCTTCACCAGTGTCGCATTTATCAAAATCCACAAAAGTTCTTATTTACGGAGTCAAAATATATTTTAGTTTTTTATCGGTTTTATGTAACTTTTTTATAGATATTTGAAGACCTGATTTCAAAAGTTAAAAGTCAAAATAATCTTTATTCATATATACTCCTTAAAAGTACTTTTGAATCGTCCAACATTTTTTTTCCCTGCCATTCGTTCAGAACGTCTTTTGGCTGATAAGAAAGAACGAGCAAGAAACTCACCAGCTCTAATAAATGTAATGACATTTACAAAAACCATGTCATTACCAGATCAATACATTATAAACAGAGAAAGAAAAAAAAACTATGGTCTTATAATGATAACATAATCATTTAATAATAATGGAGACAAGATAATGAGTTTAGAAGTAATCACCTATCCAGTTGCTGGATCATCTCAAGTCCAAGCGTTCTTATCTGTTATATAATCGGATACCTTATAATAAACTTTTTTAATAAGTATTTTTTAATAGTAGATTTAAACTGCTTGATATCTAATTGTTATATTTTACTTGGGACCTTATTGTAGAAGCGCACACATAGACCCTTGAATGAGTTATTAACTTTTTGCAGTGTAGTGACAGACACCGTTAATTTATTTTTATTTCTTGTATTAAAATTGTATACATCACTTTTAATAGAAAACAAACTATAATAATATTTTTACGAACGTACATTAAGTTCTCGTATATGTATAAGCAACAGTCATAATGTCTATTTCCTTAAATTTCTCCCTTATAGATTCCCTAATCCTAAGATTATAAATTGATCTAATTGCTCTTTTCTGAAGCACAAAAATTGTTTGTATGTCGGCAGCATTTCCCCACAATAGGATTCCGTACGACATTACACTATGAAAGTAACTGAAGTATACTAATCTGGCAATATCTATGTCAGTTAACCTACGTTTTTTCATTACGGCATATGCTGCAGAGCTAAGTCTACTCGGCAATTTATCAATATGTGGGCCTCACTGTAGTTTAGAATCTAATGTTATTCCTAAAAAATATTGTGGTATCCACAAGGCCCATGTTCTTGTCTTTTATATTAACATTTATATCTACTTTTTTAACATTAGGTAGTGCAAATTTTAAGCATTTTGTTTTTCCTTCATTAAGGAGAAGATTATTTAAATTAAAACAATGTACTACTTTAGCGATAGAATTGTTCACATCGTCATTTAGAGGTTACCCTCTTTTAATTTAAAACAAAAGTGAAGTGTCATCCGCAAACAAAACTATTTCGTAATCATCCCTTACGAAATAAGGCAAGTCATTTATATAAATCAAAAACAAAATGGACCAAATATTGAGCCCTGCGGAACACCCATCTTTACTTTCGATCCAGGGGATCTTTTGCCATTGATATCAACCCTCTGAACTCTGTCAGTAAGAGACAATTTCGAGATTGTTACTAAACATACATAAGTCAATGCTCTAAGCCAAACATGTCATTCAAAGGTAATAATCCTTATTTAAGCATAATCAAAACAAATATAATATTATAAATTACGTGAATAAAAATACAAAATATTTTTTTTTTATTAAAAATATCATGTAAATTTTATGTCGATATTAACGCTTTATTTTGTGACACTATAGACACTATACTATACTATAGTGTCTCAAAATAAAGCGGTAATGGATAAACTAGATTTCATATCTCAATAACTGAAATATGCCTTTAAAAAAAATTTAAAATATGAACTGAACGAAACTTTCTATATGACTGTGTTTATCCCTATAGTGATAGGGGTAATGTCTGGATAAACAAAGAAATTCGTTTTACATTTAAATTAATCGGTAATAAGTTTTTAAATTGGTGTTACCATGAATCTAAACAAGTTTAGTTTATCAAATCCTGTATTGATAAAAATCCTTCATAATTCGAAGACTATAAAAATTAATCGCTATATATGTCGCTAAACCATAGTGACTAAATGCAAACATCGAGAGTGCCTAGATTTCAATTTGGCAATTTTTAACATTAGATAGAATTTCAGGTACGGTTTTTATGGAAACCAAAAGATGGAAATTGAGAGGGAAAGTAAATAGTAAAATCATCACTCTTCCCATACAGAGTCAGAATCTACAAAGGTCGGAAAAGATCAACTTTGCTATTCTATAAAAATACAGCGTCGAAAGCAGTATTGTCGTAGTATTAAAGTTCAATCAAATAATACCTTAATTACCTTTTAAAGTAGGTTATATTTGAGCCCATGAGATGATGATGAGATATGCACTAATGCTGTGACAGCGATGTGCTACGCTGCGTTCAATGCTGTATCTTTAACACAATGTATTATTTTTTTAAGAGGAAGAATTTGTTTGTTTGTTGAAACCGATTTCAAATTATTGGACATATTTTAAAATTATTTAGGCTATAGGTAATTCACCCAGGCGAAATCGTGAAAAAAAGTAATTAATAAACTTAATAAGTACTCATTAATATTTACATTATTAGTGAGTGAAATAGGGTACTTATTTATCTCATAAAAATATTTTGTACCTACACAAAACTGTACAAATGGCGGACTTAATGTCTACAGTCAAAATTAACGAAGTCAGCTAAGTACAATTAAACAATTTAGAGAAATAGAATAATCTAGCCGATGCAAAACTGTAAGGAAACCTCAACTGAAGTTACTTCTACTACTTATCTATTTGTCAATTCTGACGTTCCGCGACGGATGTTACGTAACGGTTCTTCCGTCAGATATGCACGGGCCCTAAAATGATTGTAACCCGAGATAGCACAATCTGTCATTGTTATAATCTCCTCTATGACGTGTTATACGGCCTTTATTTATTATCCTTACCTATTCGTTCGCTGACATCATTGTGTTTTTATCCGACTGCGCGACGCAAAGGAGGGTAATGTGTTTATCAGTCTATGTATGTATGTTTGTTTCTATGTGGCGTTCTAGAGACTAAATGCGAAGGCCGATTTTGATGACTCTTACGTCAATCGATTCGTCTTAACCTTGCGAGTGTCACTAAAGACATGACAGTAATCAAAATTCACCACAG